TCTCCGATAGAAAAGAAGCCCCGTTTTGTTAGACGAATCTCGAAAATCCCAATCAGAAAAGTCTTTACCCTTTTATCTCTTCTTCTTTTTTCTTCTTCTCTGACTATTTTCTTTTTCACTCCGATTTGAATGATTTTTCTCTGTTTTTTACTTTCTATTTTGTTTTCCATTTTTCACGCACCACGTACAGAATAAATCCGGCCGTCCTGGTGAACTTCAGGGGAAAGAGGTTAGCTCACATTTACATGTCTTTCACAATTATACAAACGCGTTATATCTCGAACATATTTTTGTTTTTATCTTTTTGTCTTCTTTTTTACACTTCTTTCTATTTTTTCTGTTTTTTTTTTTTTTTTCTTTTTGTCTTCTTTTTTACACTTTTTTCTATTTTTTTTTTTTTTTTTTTTTTTTTTTTCATGCGTGTCGCAAAGCTCCGAATTGTTCGCAATGCGCGTCTGTACATAGTTTTCTTTGCAAAAATCGCTCAATCGTTCTTCGTGCCTAGTCGACGATAAATATTCTTTATTTATATCCTCGTTTATTTTGTTTTAAAGATGATTTTATTTTTTTTAACGGTGATTTCTCGTCGACTAAACACAGTATATTTGCAGTCGAAACGTGTCTCGCAGCTGTGTAGTATAAACGTTTGCTTAATTCGAGCGAATACTATTATGTATATTGAGAACGTAGAAATTAGATAGTGGTAAGAAGTATTTATATCAATCGATGTTTGAACTTGTAGAGGTATATATATTTGTTTCTTTTTTTATGTACAAATTTACGTATCTATTTTCGTGTTTGAAGTAGTATCAATTGTTCGGTTGGTCAAACGGGCCGCAGTAGTATAAATATGTTTTAATCAGACAGTTTTAATAAAATCAATTTCTCGTTTATCCTTCTGTAATCAGAATTCCGTTTGTTTATAAGTAAGGATGTTTATGTATTTTTGAGAAGTTTACAATTGCAGAGAATGCACATAATATTTTTTATAAAAAAATATGTATAAAATATCCAAAGAGTACTTATATTAATATTTAGTTTAATATTATATTTTAATATTTTATTATTATTAAATATATATTTATATAATATAATATTTAATAAATTTTACACATTAATATTTTAATTTAATAAAAAAGTAATAATAAATATTATTATGTTTTATAGTAATATTTAATTCGAAGTTTAACAGAATACTTATTTTAATACTTAATTAATGACACAAAGTTTAACTTTCATTTCTTTAGTTATTTTTATAAAAATATAAATATGCATAAACGTTCTACTTATAGGAGGAAAAGATTATTAGCTATTTATCTCAATTTTAAATGTAGTGTTAATAGTTAAAATAAACAAGATAAAAATATGGAACATGTAACTTTCAAGTTTTACGATGTGATGGAAAATTAAGATTAAAAATTTGTTCATAAATATTATACTACTACAGCCTCTTTGAGACTTAATCCTGCCGCATTCTGCCGATCATTTTTTATTCAATACATTTTTACAGTATTAAAAAATATTCCAATATTGATTGAAATGTAAAAAAATTCTTATTCATATAAAATGAGAGCAATATCAAAATTCAAAGATTGCAGCAAGGTTAATATATCGCACGCTTGTGGAAAGAATATTACGGAGATACTCATCTTGACTAATTATAAAAATCTTGTAGATTCATTTATTTGGTCAGTAGAGAGTAATTTTATCGTTCTTCGTAATTGACACATTTTATAATAATATTTTATAAATTCATCTTATTATTATATTTTGTTCTGACTATGATTTTGTATATAATTTAGTATATTCAACAAAACAGTATTTAATTACTAGACTGTGGATACTTATGCAAATTCAGTGAATGTAACTAAGGGACTAAAAGATTACATTTTTTAAATATCATAAATACTTTATTTTAGAAATATTATACGCATGCATTTCTGCAAATTTCGTACAAATACATAGGAATCCGCAGTCTGCTAATTATATTCAAAAAACTGTTTTCTGTTTCTTTTGGAAAATATATTTTAGTATCACTGCAAACGTGCGATACATATGAATTAAAACCGAATATTGCTTGTTATGAAACTGTGATACGGATGCTAATCTCTCGCGAGTAAGAGTAGTATATATGTCATCAATCACCGTGCTCACCATGCTATGTGTCAGCGATCAATTCTGTTCACACGATAACCATAGGTACGACGTCTCGTTTGTTTATTAATTTGTTTATTCATCTACCCGACAAATGAACATTGTTTGTTTTATTTTTCTTTTCTTTTTTTTTTCATTTGTATCGTCGTACCCGTGTATAGTGTACCTAAAATTCGATGTGCCTTTCTGTAAATAATCCACGTATGTAGAAGAATGTGGTAATCGAGTCGCGACAGTAACTAAACAATCAAAAGGATGGTCAAATTGTGTCGATAGTGATTCTTCTTCTTCCTTTATTCCCCCCTTCCTCTCTTCTTCTCTGTATATTTAGAAATTGTCAACTGTGTCTCTCTCTCATTCTCTCTTTGTTTCTCGCCACAGCCCTTCGTACTTATTTCTCCGTCTCATCGATTGTTTTCCCATACATGTATGTCTATTAACCATGCCTTTATGTATCGCCAATTGTATCTAACAGCGATGGCGTGACGACGACCGAAGAGTTCTATAACCGTTACAAAAGTTTCACTTGCGCATCGAGTACCAATCGAATGAACGAGCGATGCAAATAAAAGATCCGCAGTTGAAGCTTGAACGCTTCTGTGATTTAACGAACACTTATATATATGTAATCCCAGCGAAACAGCACATTTTTTATTTGCACGCATCATCGTCACGCGGTTCTAGTTGTGCATCGATCGATAGTTTAATAGCCGAATTTAATTCAAAATAGAAATTCTATAGAAGTTTATTGTATAGAGTGAGACGTTCTAATTAATAGTTTCTATAATGTTTCAATTTTTACTCTCAAGCGATTCACCTGATTTATTCATTTATGTATATGAAAATTTATGAATGAATTAATGTATATATAAAAAGTAAAAAAATAACGATATTGTCGATCGATGTAACGAACAATAGCTCTCGTATTTTCATGCGTACTTACTTATTGTTTCGCAGCGAAGCTCTTCTCACGTATTACGACACGAAATTTCGTATTGAGTCATAATCTCGTAGCGCTAGGTTTAACCTTGTGACTGATCAACTGGTGAAAATTGTTCGCCGAATTATCAACGGTTCGGCATCGACGAAGTGAACATCCTGTCCACGTAACTCGGAAACCTTTCATTTATGTGTATCCTATGTGTACCCCTTGTTTGTACATTCTGATCACCGACCATTCTGGTTTCTTGTTCTAAATAATCATTCTCACGCTTCTTTATGCATCGTAGTAATTTTTTTTTTTTTATTTAGCCAGTATTGTGTAATAACGAGCTGTGAAACCAGAATGGAAAAGCATATAAACATATTTGTATATATGTGTAAAAACCTTTCCTTCCCTTGCGTATAATCGAGGATTCTACTCGAGGTATTTGTAATAAGAAATGTTTCGAATTAATTTATTCAAATGTGAGTCGTGAGTAAATCCTCTTTGAGGATCCTCGAATTTACTTTAGCTAACGAGTATGTGAAACCCTTAGGAACGTGGTCAGAAATATTGTCTCATTAATGGAGATTTGTTATAATTAGATTGCGAATGTTTGTGCATTTATGAGTTTAGAGTATTGAAAATTTGAGAGATTTAAAATGGAAATTTGAAATATCGATAATTATTGATTTCGATATCGAAGTATCAAAAATCAGCGTAGGTATATTATTATATATAATTATTAAATTTATCATAATATATAAAGATTTATTAATACACAACTATTATATACAATAATAATATTATATTGCTGTTCGATGAAACAAATCACTCAAATTTAGATTCTTCTTTTTATTGCATTTACAAAGATAATAATTTTCATAAACATCCGTATTCTGACCATAAATGAAGACTTTGCGTTGTCTGACCTCGTTTTACAGTTCACTTACATTAACATTGTAAATAATGATTAATGATTTAACGCTTTGTACTAATTACGTAGATTAATAGCGTGACTAAAAGGCATGATGAATAATTCGCACCACGCACACAGCATGAGAGCACCGAACTTCTAGCCAGTCGTGACTTTCGTCTGACTCACGAAACTGTATGATCAATTTACAAAATATTTAAAATTTTCATTAACACTATATAATGAGACACAAATTTCATAATTACATATTGACAAAATGAAACATTTCATGTTGTATTATATTTATTGATTACAAGACGTATTAAATGTCATATTCAGATTTGCTTCTCCAATAATTATGATAGATTAATCTCATTTTAGTGTTTATGAAATATTTTGTGTAATAGATACATATTTAAAAATGCAAGAGATGATATATTCAAAAGTGTTTCGATAGTTTTGTGAGATGTTGCAATTATCTATTAGATAAATCGATGACTCACAGGTAAGATGACGAAAGTCATGTATTTGGTCGTTTCAGCTTGCTCGCTTTTTCCGAAAGCTTCTAATGCTTGTTAAAAGAAAAAGAGAAAAAAAAAGCAAAGAAAACAGCGTAAATGGTTTATGATTCATCAATGATCCATTGATACAGCGTCGTCGTCCGAGTACGGACGTCAGAAGACCCAGCGTGGCGGACCTTGAGAATAAGATCAATCAGCCGAGCACACCTCTTCGAGATGTCGGACCAGCGGGACCACCTCAAATTGTCGATATTCAGGAATCATATTCCGCCGTCGAAGGTATATTATCGATGTTCATTCTTCTTTCTCTTTGAAATTTTTTAGAATTTCGTGTTTCGAGTTTCTGTAATGCTGCTGAATTATATCAAAATAATATTCTAATTGAAAATAACATATATATATACGAAAGCATCGGGCAATAACAACTTCTTCTTGTTGAATCGATTTGATCCACTGAATGTAACGAATATATTTTCTTTAGACTCGACGGCGTACCTCACGGTTGGAGTGGAAGGCACGCCTGCGCCAACCTTCAAATTCTATAAGGGAATCACCGAGATCATCGAAGGTGGCCGATTCAAGTTCCTTACGGATACAGAGACCAATACGATCACCCTCTGCATGAGGAAGACGAAGCCCAACGACGAGGGCACATACAAGATCGTCGTGAGCAACATCCATGGCGAGGACTCTGCCGAGATGCAGCTCTACGTTTCCGGTACGCTTTGCCCTTGCTTGTCCTTGAATTTATTATTAAGTTTTCTAATCTTGATTTTTTAATTTTACCACTCTCAGTTTTTAATCTTGATTTCTTAAATCTTTATAATTTTATACCTTTGGTTCTTGGTATAGTCATTAGTCATTTTCTTATTTTTCTATTATCAATCTCAATCTTTGTTATTAGTATAGTATTAGTCAATTTCTTATTTTTCTATTATCAATCTCAATCTTTGTTCTCAAATTTGTAATTTTCTATTTTCGATCTCTTTATCTTTAGTCTTCTCAATTTTAATTTTCAATCGATTTCGACTTCTAATCTTTGCCTTTAATTTTTTTTACTCTCAATCATTGACCATCTAATTTTTATTTTTATTTCTAATCTTCGGATCAATATTAACGATTAGACGCCAGTGGTATGGATTTCCGTGCTATGCTGAAAAAGAGGAAATACCAGAAATGGGCGAGAGAAGAGCAAGAACAAGAAAAGGTAGACTTGAAGGAGGTCGAGAAACCTATGCCGGCTTTGAAGAAAGTCGAGAAGGTGCGTAACCATTATTATCCATATAATCAAACATAATTTTCGTCACGAGACTCAATATATACTACAAATCAAAGATCATTTCTTTTTTTTTATATATATGTTTTGAGGAAGTTTGTCTTTATTGGTATGCATGTCCATTCGTTGTAAATCTGTTGCATTTCTCGATTACTTGTGATCATTGTGTAACAGCTCGGTACGCTATATTAGTGTTCTATGTAAAGAAAAAAAAACAAAAATTGCTTTCTGTTTAATTATAAATAGGCAGCGAATTTTTATGCATTTTGCAAGAAACTTGGTAGTTCCAAAAATACATAAAATACTCGAAGCAGAGTATTTATTATAATATTTAACAGATAAAACAAATTCCTACTTTTTGTTTGATTTAATTTAGTCACATTCATAAAAATATAAGAATGAATAAAAGTTCGCAGACCAGTTATAAATTTCAAGCGTTAGGTGAGATACGATATCGACTAGAGAATAAGATTATGATAACACAAGTCGACAATGATTTATTTGGTAAGTAGATGAAATGACTATACGTAATCGGAAGACCGACAACTGAACATTTCCATAAACGAGATGCAATCGGTAGCACGTTCGAGAACCATCGATGATAGCAAGTTTGTCTTGCTGTGTCTCTTCTTTCACGTTTGTCTTCGTAGTCGCTGCGCGACTTGGTGACACACGGAAGAAGCTGGTATCAAGACGGGGATGAAATAGTGATCTTGATGGAGGGTGAGGAGGTCCTTCGAATTTCTCTAGACAAGAAGGGTGAAACTAACTGGAGCTGGCTCAAGGTTTTCAGGCATCATCCCATACGTAGATAACTTCCCGACATTGACGAGACGCATCTCGGACGCATTAATATGTCGTTCTGTTTTCTACAATTTTAGGAATCGTTGAAAATCGTCCACGATATGTTCAAAATATCCAAAATATTCATATCTAGTGAAAATTAAAGATGAAATGGAGACAGCTTAATCCTTTGAGGGTTCAGGTTGTATTTTGTACAAGATAGCCTTAAACATGTGAAAGAAAGATAGTTCCATATATAATACAACAATGTGATTCATATTTTATATTATTAGTCATGTTACAGAAGAATAGTTGAACAGGAAATCTTTATATTTAAATATTTAATAGGATCAATAGTTTCTTAAATTATAAAGATATTTTACAGGAAATGGTAAATGAATTAAAAAGAAATTCAACAAATTGCACAGACATGTATATTGGTTCACGAAAGTATTTGAAAGTATTTAGATTTCTTTGACGAGCATTCAAGGGATTAACAAAAGAAATTGTGGAAACAGAAAACCCCGTACTAATTCACATTACATTATCACTGTGTCGATTTTACAGTACTATACTTTTAGAAAAAGCAATACACTCGACTGGTAACGATATTTAGACGACCGAACCCTTGCGTTCCGATTTACAAAAGCACACGCACTTTTTATGATACTCACACGTACACACGTTAGTTTAGAGCTAATGCTGCGCTTGAATCTCGTATCTTCGATGTATTACATATTTGATCGTACCGTAGACATTCACGTAATAATTCATCTTTATTAACCAATTGTCGATTAACCAAAAATTAATTTCATTCAGTGTCGTTATCGAGTAAAAGATAAAAATAAAAATTCACTCACAAATGCATGAGTAGAAATTATTCTTTCAAGTAAAATTGCATTCTTAGGTATGATTAACGCGACCTGCATTGAAGATTGTTAATAACGGTGTCTAACCTAGCAGCAAGCATTATCTCTAAATATATTAAACGTCTTTTTAAGTGTTTCAACACGGAAAACCCTGATGAGCGTTCAAAGATATTTTATATTCGTCTATAATAATTTGATAAAAATTCAATGAATTACTAAATTAATGGAAATTATCGATAAATTTATAAATTGGTAAAAATTTGATAAATTTGTAAAATTGGTAAAGAAAATTTTTATAAAAATTCGTTTACAGCAGGTCTATTGTCGAAACAATTTGATTCGGGGGAAAGTTTGATTAAAGTGACCAGGTCAGGGTACTCCGTTATTTAATATCGAGGATTGTATAAGAGTGAGATTAACGTGAACGTGTGTGTGTACCGGGCATGCAGGACGTCTTCGACATTCAGCGCAGGCCAAGTTTGCAGGAGCTAATCGTCGACTGGCCGATATTGGCAACAGTGGTCAAAGAGAAGGTTCGCGAAAACTGTTTAGCAAATTTTTCTTCATTCCTGGCGCTCGATTCTATTTTAATCCATTGGGCTCGCGATGCCTTTTGTACTAATTCTTTTACCAACAATTTTCATTAACATTCTATTCTTAGATTAATAGACGATTTGTCTGTCTCTTTTGAGATTAGACGCATTTTTAGATTTTTATCAGCCTAGCCAAAAAGAAAGAAAAAAAGATGGAGTCTAAATTCCGTTCTCTCACTAAATACTACAATAAGCGCTCTGCTTTGGATATTTTATATATACTATATTTATATGTATATTGTGTGTATTCTCTGTATTTTGAATTACTCATAAATGCATAAAAAATTCGCACTCTAATTATACTCATTCATCGCTGTGTACTACTAATTATAATTTCATTTTATAAAATTATGAACTATCACGTGCCATTCTTTGCCTTCTTAAACTGTCTTCTGTTTGTCATTGTAATTTGGCATTGCGTATACTACACATAAATCCCAAAGGATTAAAAGCTTCGTAAAAGCAGAACAATCGCCTGAACGTTTCCACCCTGCAAAGCTTCAACCAGTACAAGCATCCGTAAAAGAGTTTTACGAGAACTACGAACTTGTAAATTATCCCACGATCGTTTCACGATCACGAGATTTTCTGTCGCGTTTTCTTGCTTCGGATTGCTGTGAATGAAATGAAGCAATGAAATTCTCGCGATCTACTGAGGGATTTACCTGCTTTGGCCTGCGCTTCTTTTTTCTAGAGGAGCTCGGCTTCAACGATTCTCTGTTGACCAATTAAGGACCATGCAGAGAATTACTTTAAATATATTTAATATCTTTTTCTCTCATCGATGCTCTTCTATATCTAGATCTTACAATTAATTAAAGTTCTAGAGAAATTGTGATGAGCATAACGTTATCGCAAACATAAAGTAATCTATATTTATAGTTACTGTGTAGTATTATATTTATATACGTCATGCTATATTTAAATATTTATTTGTTTATTTAAAGTAATTTATATTACGATTCTTTATAAAAATGTATTAAAATAGTAGATAAGCTAAATTATTTATTATATTAATAATATGATTTATTTTTTTATATTTTATTATTATTTTATAGATATTTTAATTTCATATAATTGTAAGATCTGGACGAAAAAAGTGGAGATTGTAATGACAAAAAGAAATATTATATTTCCTTCGTAATTGTGTATCAATAATAATTCAATAACATATATTTCTAATCAAAAGTTTAAAGGATGTTAGAATTTAAAAAAAAAATTATTAATATTTCGTTGGATAACTAAATATTTCATTCTTTTTTGTATTCAATCATATCTATAAACATTAGTTATAATTAATTATAATCATTAATATATTCGCATTTCTCAGAAAAATATATTCAAGTTTATTCCATCCAAAAGTCAAGGCACATTCCAAACTTTTGAAAGATCGTATGAATTAATTGAACAGAAATCACGAACGAAATGTTGGTCCTTAGTAGATCAGACTACTTAAATTAATATGACTAATATTTCCGTTTATTATTTTTACGACGTTAGTTTGTAGAAAGAGAAGACATACATACCTATACTTATAGCAATCACAGCGAGTATCTTGTGTTTCTCTTTCGCTTTACTTTGCCTGCCATCAGCCTCAACGAAGAAGATACCCCCTATAATATGTAGCATAATAAATCAGACTGTGATCGTAGACGATTTTTATTGTTTTTATAGAATAGTGGATCTCGTAGACCCTCTCTCGCCGAATTAATTCCTGACTGGCCGATCCTGCACCATTTCACCAAGACGGAGGTTGGATCGTAGTCCTCGACAACTTGAAACACAAAGTTTCACAGTCTACCAGCGTGATATCGATGTCTTTCTCTCTTTATTCCTCCCTATCTCTCTTTTTTTCGCTGTCTCTCGTTCTTTCTCATGAGAATGCGATACACTTTCTCTCTTTATTTATGGTTTCTCCAACAACTAGACGATTCGTCTCTCTCTTTCTTTCTCTCTCTCTCTCTTTCTTTCTGTATCTTTTTAAATATCTCGGACATCTTGTATCTCTTTTCATTTTCTTTTTCTAAATCTATTTCTTCTATTCTCACTTTTCCCCTCAAATCTGTCAAATTTATACACGGTCTGTTTCGTCAGCTTTATTCTTCTTTCTCATACACATAAATGCGTTCATCCATTAGCAATTTTTTACTCTCGACTTTCGATTTCGTATCGAAACTTTTTACGGCCAAGATTTTGTTTTTGTATTTGTATTTCGTTGAAGTTTTTTTCTAGAATTTTTCAGCTACAGCGGCTTTCATCCTCGTCGAGGCGAGATTTTTCTCATATTTTTTTGGTACAATTTTGTATAGATTTTTTTTTCACAGAATCGAGAGATCGATTGGTTTGTGGCGGCTTCTTTTTTTGAACATTTTGATTCTTCATCTTCCTTTATGCCCAGCAACGTTGTCGTTCTTGACGGTGTTCTTAGATCTGATGGAAATTTGTTGTCGGAAGAATTTGTTTGTTAATCAGGGTTTCTATATTCGCAGAAGCCGGAAAGTTTCCTGAAACCATTGGTGGATCAATATGCCAAGGAGGGCAAAGACAAGAAAGTCGTCTTCGAAGCGAACTTCTCAAAACCGAATTGCAAACCAAAATGGTTCTTCCGAAAGGACGTAAGTCTTTCGTTCTTCTTTGCTTATTTATTTATATATATAATTCTATTTATTTACATATAAGCAATAATATGAAGAAATACAATTAATTTCCTATGACAATAAATATAAAACACAAAATAATAATATGTCAACTCAAATCTCAGCTAGTTAATTATTATTGATAGACATTCACTAGAAGATTTATTGAGGATTGCAATGTGTTATTTAGGAACTGTTCCCCTCATCGAAATACAAGTTCAAGAATGAGGAAGATTGTTACCAACTCATTATTCTAAACCCTAAGGTTGAGGATACCGGAAAGTACACCATTGAAATTTCAGGTGTCTCGAGCACAGGTTTCCTCAACGTCGAAGGTTTGTCTATCCCGATGAATATTCAAGATCAGAATATATCATTTTTACTTAATTATAATCTTCATCTATTTCAGAACTTTTGTAAAAAAATGAATGTCATACCTAATGTTGTAACAATCAATATTTTTGGAATATCCGTGTGTGTAGCGAAAATACGTATTGTATATATGTAAAACATCCCTGTGATTGTAGCACAACTAATCGAAACGTGATTTGCATGCAAAAAAAAAGGATATTATAGTAATTATTATTATTTATTTTATAAATATTTTTATAATATTTTTTCGTTTAATTTTTTCATTCTTTTCTATTTAAGATTTTCTTTTCAAAAAAATCAAGTTTACTTTGTAAACATTGTAGGAGTATACAAGTATAATATTTGTAGCTAAGTTTGAACACTATGAAAATAAGAGAAAAATTAAGAATAAACTTCTTTCTTGATTCTTTCTTCTCGAGAAAATTAAATTTATCAAATGTGAAAATTAGTTATTATTTTAAAAAGATAATTTTTAAAAATTATTAATTAATAATTATTTTTTGAAAATTATTTCCTATCCAGTTGTACTACAATCACACCCTATACAATCCTAAAATCAAATAAGGAGACAGAGTTTGGCTCAAGATTATTAAATTAATTGATACATTTCCTCTGTTTTCTCCACTTATATGTATATATGTATTTTTGTCTTTCTTCTTCCATGTATATATTCTCTCCCTTTTTTTCATCTTTTTTTCACTAGCATTATATTCCAAATTCAATGTACTTTAATGACATTGAATATTGAATATATCAAGATTTTTTCATAGATTTATTGTTACACAGAACCAGACCCAACTTACACGTTCACGAAACCACTGGCCAAGAAATCAAGTGGTTACACTAAACACGAAGTTTATATGGAATGTACTATTAGCTCTAACCTCGCCCAAGTTACATGGTATAAAGGAAAAACAAAGTTGGAGGTATAACAATTTTCCTTTTTTGTAGATCCTACAACCAAGTGTACAGTGTATGTTAAAAAAAAAATACCTGTAATTAATATCTTTAGGAAGGTGATTTGTACAGTATATCGAAGGACATGAGTGGTGTTTGTCGATTAACTATAAAGAGTGCCACGCTTGAAGATAGTGGCGAGTACATTTGTAAGATTAACAAACAAACCGACAAGACTGAGACTGTTCTAACCATAGTTGGTACGTTATCCCCCAATGTCTTGTAAATACTACTTGTAAATACTGCTGTTTGTAATCATTTTCTGAAAAAATGGAATGTGACATGTTCATCTCTCTGCACAGAGTATCCATACAAATTTGTAAAGGTGCTGAAGTCCCAGCAGCTCGTAGAAAAGGAAACGTTGACACTGGTCTGCGAGTTGGATGATGAGGGTGGTGAAGTTAAATGGTTCAAAGGTGATCAAGAGATCGTAGCTGACAAGAGGTAATGCATGAATTTTAATTCTTTCAGTAGCGAATTTTCCATATGTACCCATAAATACTTTTTATTATTTTATTAATATATATAATATACTTAATATAAACTTTATATCATTTGTATTACCTCATTCGTCTTTTTACTGTGCTGCTTCAGTAATTATTTCAAAACTAAAATATATAATTTGAATACAGTTTTCTTATATAACATAAAAGCAAATACAATTAATACAAATACAATTAATGATTAATACAATTACTGATGTACAGGGTACAAATCAAAGAAGATGGCAGAAAGAGGAAGCTCATCATTAAAGACGTGAAAGTTACAGATGCCGGTCAATACTCGTGCGTGAGCAACGCCGACAAGACTGAAGCCGAAATAGTCGTAAATTGTAAGTTCATTTAGCAATGTATAAAATTTGTTAACCTTGAGACAGTGGAGAGTTAATATTTCATTTAATATTTTTTTTTCTACATAGCGCAAAATAAATTTTTATATTAGATTCTTTTATTGAATATTTTAGCTTTGAGAGTTGTTTTAGTAGAAAATTATTTTATAATTAATATGTTTCTTCTTTTACGTAAATTTTTGCACTTTTATTTTTCTTACTTTGATTTTTGTTGTGTTTTTTTTGCCATTCTTCTTATATTGAATGTTTTAGCTTTTCAAGTATTTAATAATTGAATAGAAAAGCACATTTATATATATTAATGTTACATTTATTTTATAATTATACAATTATTCTTCTCCGGTACTCAAAAATTATAAGAACTTAATAACTAAAAAAATTAAATTCCTCAGACGCGAACCGATTCAACAAGAAGTTGAAAGACACAGTGGCAGTGGAAAGAGAAAAATTGGTACTGGATGTGGAACTTCAAGACCAGACCGCACCTGCCGTCTTCTTGTTCAATGGAAAACCGATCGAACCTAGCGAAAGGATCGAAGTTAAGAACTTGGGCGGTGGCAAACATCAACTGGTCTTCAACAGATTAGAAATGAGCGATGATGGTGAAATTACTTGCGAGAGCGGACAATTGACAAGCAGCTGTAAACTCACAGTGAAGAAAGGCGAGAGTAAACCAATCGCTGAAATTCCCGATAAAGTCGAAGGTCCTTCTAATCAACCACTCGTGTTCGTTGTCCCATATAAGAGTAAGTTTCGTTTTTCTTTTTTCTGTAAATATATTCAACTTTTTTAAGATTTAAATATGAATGAAGCAATACGATAACATAGATTATAATTGAAGTTTGAAGAAATATAGAGTAATCACTAGATTATGAATTTTTATACATTTATGTATAATAAAATTCAAAGATTTAATAATGCGCAGAATACAAATACATAAAATATCTAAAGTATAATACTCACTATAATAACAATAGTGGATGAAATAAATTTCTACTTAATTTCTGTAATTATAATCAAGTATTTTATATTTTATATAATTTAACATTTTCATTAACATTTAATGTTTTAAAGTGTGGTATCCGCTAAAGTAATTGCTCGAACACATTGGAAAAAAATAATTATAGAATGAAATTCATTTTTTAAATCACACAATATATCGTAATTTAAAAATATGATAAGGCTTCTTCTAGAATGAAATTCATAAATTTCTTTTAAATGGTAAATTTGTTACTAAAAATTCAGAATGACTTTTAACTGTTTCACTTGTCATTGTCATATCAATTTCATATTCAATATCTTATTTTTTTCAAAAATATAATATTTACATAATATTACATAAATTTGATTTGATTAATATTACATAAATTGAACATTTTCAAGAAGGAGGAAAATACTTTTAAATTTAAAGCTTGTGTCTAATAATTTTATAAAATTCTGAATGATAAAAATAAAAATAAAGATATTTTGAATGATAAAAATTTCAAATCTATTGTCTTCTAAAAATATTATTTTCGTCTATATAGTCGAAGGAACGAAACAGAGCCAGGTAGAAGCTAAACTGTTGAAAGACGGCAAAGCATTACCATTGAAGGATGTAGAGATCGTTGTTGGTGAAGATAAAATCACGTTCAAGATTAAGAAACCTTCTCATGATCAGTCTGGTATTTATCAAGTGAAGATTAGTAACAACCAAGGAGAGGAAGTCAAAGATGTGAATGTCAACATGCAAGGTAAATTAATTTTAATCGATAATCTTTATTACAATTCTTGTACTGTTATTCAAACATGTTCTGCTCGGTTCTCTCCTGATTTATATAAAAAAAATTTATTTCTTCGACGTTTTACAATGTCTTTCTCCCATAAAAATTTAAAAATCGATGTTACTTTGTCCTTTGTATTTAATTTCTTGATGTTTAATTGTTTAATTCAATCTTGTTCTTTATTTTCTTAAGATAAGAAAGATAATTTGTATCTTTAAGTGCATGTTTTTCGATCACTTTGTATGTTCATAATTGTTGAAATTATTATTGTAATATTAAATCTTTGTTATCTCATTTCAAATTTCAAATGAGATAACAATTTTTATTATCAGTGATTTCAATAATTTTTTAATAATTATTCAAGTACGATATTCGTCTAAATTTTTGTAAGTATTCCTGTATACTTATGGAATATAGATAATAGACGTGTACATAATAGGTTTGTAGATCGATAATGGGAATATGTGTGATTTATTTTTAAGATTATGTTAAAGGAAGATGATCCTAGTATTACAAACCTCGAAATCCATTGGAACTCAGAAACGTATTCTCCACATAGTGTACTCAATTATACCATTGATTCGAGATTCTCGAAATCCAAGTAATTAATTATTTCTATAACTAAAATACAAAAATATTATGATATTATTATACATAATAAAATGTGAATTCGTTTTTATCGAATTGAGTTTGTGTATAGATCGTTCATACACTGGGAAAAAGTAATTTGATTCTCTGAAAAAATTTAGAAAAAGACAAATAATGAAGAATTACGAAAAAAAGTATACCTACTAATATAATTATACTATAATTATATATATAATATAACTATAGCAATATAGTTATACCAGTATATTTACAATATAACTAATATTGCTAAAATTAAAAATAAAGAAATTATTAAAATTTCACTTCATGACAGAAAAAGACAAAAAGAAAAGATAAGCACGTTGGATTTCGAGAGTTTCAATTTTATGTTTCATGAGCTGGCAATGTTTCAAATTTAAATTTCGAAAATCTACAAATCAAGTTTCGACTCATAATGTATGTAGTAGTATGCATCATAAAAGCATTTCTTTCATTCGCCTCGTTCCCAAACTCACAAACTATAACCACACCATTCATTGTAACTAACTGAATTGTACAAACCTCATTTAGATGTGCCGTCTCCACCTACGGACGTTGATGTCACCGAGGTCTTCCAAGACTCCTGCGTGGTATCGTTCAAACCTTCAAAAGACGATGGTGGATCGCCAATCACGAAATACGTGGTCGAACGTCTCGATCTCAGCTTGAAGGCTCAATGGGACAACGTTGGCGAAGTTATGCCTGGCGAGAAATGCGTTTACAAAGTGAAAGATCTTATAGCGAAAAAAGAATACAAATTCCGTATCAGAGCTGTGAACAAACTTGGCTCCAGCGAGCCCGCGATGTTTGGAAAGCCAATACTCGCAAAAGATCCATGGGGTATGTATGAAATTATTGGTTTTAAAGTAAAATGAAGTCTACGAAACTACGAAATTTATGGAAAGTGTACGTCATAAGTTTTTGCATTGTTAATTAATGTATAACTTGGTGTATGTATAATCCCTGTGAATAGTTCTGTCTGAATGACCATCGTAGCAGTTCAACACAACTTCAATTTTGATGAAATTATATTCAGTTTATACAGTTTGCAATATAAAATTAATTAACATTTCTAGAAAAATGAAAATTTGTCAAAAACATAATTTCTTCGATGCTACAATTTTTCGAGATTAGGATTCTTGGAAATCGAAATTTTTTTAAAATCGAAACTTTTTGCAATTGAATTAAAATTTCTAGAAATTAAAATGCTTTGGAAATTAGAAAAGTTTGAAGTCTTCAGAAATTAAAATATTTTGAAACTTAAAATTTCTAGAAATTAAAATTAAAGATATTAAAAATTAAATTCAATCTTCGGCAATTGAATCGAAATTAAAATTTCTTTAAATTAAATATTTCACCTATGAAAATATTCTCGTGATAAGATTAAAGAACACATTCTCATTCTCGTTAACAGACGAGCCAGGCAAACCCACGAACGTGGAGGTAGTGGATTGGGACAAAGATCACGCCGACTTAAAATGGGTGAAACCAGAAAGTGATGGTGGAGCGCCAATTACGGGCTACATAATCGAATACAAAGAGAAATTCGGTAAAGAATGGGTGAAAGGCAAAGAAATCGAAGGCGACGTAACGGAAGCTACTATCGATGGTCTTAAAGAAGGCACCCAATACGAATTCAGAATCAGAGCTGTGAACAAAGCTGGACCTGGTGAACCGTCGGACGCTACGAAACCAATTATCGCCAAATGTCGATTCGTCAAACCGTATATCGAGGGTGATGGTTTGACTAATCTGGTCATAAAGAAAGGACAAGTGATCAAGTACGATATTAAATACGGTGGTGAACCCGAACCGGAAGTCCATTGGTTCCTTGGAGAAAAAGAACTTGTTCAGGACGCAGCTGAAAGAATTACTATTGATAAGTACGAGAGGAACACGGTGTTGACTGTTAGAAAAACGACTAGGCCAGATTCAGGCAAATACAAGCTGGTTTTGAGTAATAGCTCTGGAACTTGCGAGAGCATCGGCGACGTCGTTGTACTTGGTAAATTTTCGTTTTCTATCACTTTGCTCTGTTATGTTTTCCGATTTGTGGCTCTACTGCATATCAGACTGAAATATTTAAAAATTTTAGAATTTAGAATATTAGAGTATTAGAGATTTAATGATTCGGTTCTTTTCAGTAGATGAAACAATTGAAATTTTGGACCAATGAATTTTGATATATTGGAAATAAACTAAATATATGGGAAATTAGGTTCAATCAAATTTCAAAACGTCACATTATTATTAAATTATTGAAACAACTCTAAGGAACTTATAAAATACTAAATTTCGTTGTTAAACAAAATAATGAATTGTTAGAATTTTTATTATTTTTATTATTACAATTTTAAAAATTGATTTAATTTAATTACACTTATTATTTTTATTACTTTAATTATTATTATTCCAAATTCAGAATTCTGTTTTTTTAAATCATCGAGCTATTGACGAACCACTCTATACCACGAAAATGTTTTATAAATGACTTCTCCTTCTTCCTTTTTTTAGACAAACCATCGAAACCAACTGGTCCACTGAAGGTGGAAGAAGTCCGTTCAAACCACGTGAAGGTAAAGTGGCAAAAACCAGAAGACAATGGTGGTACAGACATTACCGGTTATGTTTTGGAAAAAATGGACATGGACACTGGACGATGGATTCCTGCCGGCGAAGTGGGACCAAACGAAGACACATTTACCTTTACTGGTTTAACTCCGAAGAAGAAATACAAATTCCGTGTGAAAGCTGTGAACAAGGAAGGTGAATCCGAGCCACTCGAAGTCGACGAGGCAATTCTTGCCAAGAATCCATATGGTAAATAGAATTATTAATAATTTGCAAAAGATCGTGAGCAATCATCTAATTAATATTTGCAACATTTTAATCAAATTCTTTAACCTTATTACTTTGATTCCTGTTAGACGAGCCTGGTAAACCTGGTAAACCAGAAATCTTCGATTATGATAACGTCAGCGTATCCTTGAAATGGACTAAACCTGAGAGTGATGGTGGTAGGCCAATCACTCATTATGTCGTCGAGATGAAAGACAAATTCGCGGTGGATTGGGTGGAGGTAACGAAAACTACTGATGACACTCCGGAAGCAAAGGTTGAGGGCTTGAAAGAGAAAATGGTTTATCAATTCCGAGTTCGTGCACACAACAAAGCAGGTCCAGGTCAACCTAGCGAACCTACGGACAACCATCTCTGCAAACACAAGAACCGTAAGTTTATTTCCAATGCTATAATTACAATGATTCGAAATATATTCCGCTACTTATCATGGAAGAATTTCTTATTGGTTCACTATATTGTTCCAATATTTAATGTAAAAGAACTTTGTATGTATGAAAGTATTCAAACATTTATCAGAAAAATTTTTATGTAGTACATATCGTTCTTTTGCGAAGAAAGTGGCTTCATTTTCGAGTTGTCACTATAAAAATGTTGCAGAAATAATTATTTATTAATTATAAAAATCTCATTCATTGATCTTTATAATTTGACCGGTATATATAATTTTAGTTAAACCAAGAATCGACAGAACCAACTTCAAATCCGTAATCATCAAGGCTGGACGTACGCATAAATGGTCTGTGGATATCATTGGAGAACCACCACCAGAAATTAAATGGGTTTGGAGAGATAATATACCTCTAACTACCACGGAACGCATTAAGATCGAAAATGTCGATTATCATACAGACTTTACTATCGTAAACACGACGCGAAAAGATACTGGAAAATATACTCTCAAGGTGGAGAACGTTAATGGAAGTGACGAGGAGACTGTCGAACTTACAGTTCTTGGTAAGTTTTAATTATTTCCAGAATTTAGTTACACAGATGATTACAAAATTCGATAGAAGGTCTAACGTAATTTTTACATATGTAACTAGATTTTATAAGAACAAGAATGAATATTTTTGTTATTCAGGCAAACCGGAAGCACCAAAGGGTCCATTGGAAGTAACAGACATCACAGCAACCTCGGCAAAGGTGAAGTGGGAGAAACCGGAAGACGACGGTGGCGTCCCGATCAAAGAATACGAGATCGAAAGATTGGACACGAAGACTGGCAAATGGGTGAGAGTGGGAAAAATTCCAGGCAATTCGCCGAACACAGAATTCGAAGTGACTGGATTAAATCCAGGCAGCGAATACAAATTCCGTGTTACCGCCATCAACGACGAGGGTGATTCCGAACCACTTGAGAGTGAACGTCCGATCATCGCTAGAAATCCATACGGTAAATACAATTGTTTGTTTGGATTGTAATATTAAAAATAATACCAGTTTTAATTGTTTCAAAATGAACGAAGCTTAATGAAATAACATTTCAAGAGATATAGATTATTTATAATTTTGTAATAACACATATAGGAAACATTACATGTACAGTAGGAAAAGTTATTGCACTTTTTAGAAATCTGTTTAAAAATTACTTTAAATCGTCCGCATTCATCTTATTGTTAGTTAAGATTAGAAGTTCGCTCGTTTCGAGCTAGTGAAATACTAATAAAATTCAAATCGATCGTCAAGTTTCTCACTTCAGTTTCTACTGATGATTCTCAGACTCAGCAACTAAACCTGGAACACCTGAGATAACCGATTACGACAATGAATCCGTAAGCTTGAAATGGACTCCCCCGTCTTCTGATGGTGGTGCACCAATTGAGAAATACATCATCGAGAAGAAAGATCGTTACAAGCCAGATTGGGAAAAAGCAATTGAAGTACCTGCAAGTCAATTGGAGGCTAAAGTGGGTGGCCTGAAGGAACGAGGAGAATACCAGTTCAGGATTATTGCTGTGAACAAAGCTGGACCATCTCCGCCATCAGATGCTTCGAAAATGCAAATATGCAAGCATAAAGCCTGTAAGTACCTATAATAATATACCCCTATTCTGCTGGATATTTTATTTTATGATAACTGCGGCATGTTTTTTTGATGATAAAACTTTTATTTATTATTATATTTTTATTTATTCATTGTTTACATTATTAAAATAGATAATATGTATTAAACTTCTATTTATTTAAATTTAATGAACTTAAAAAATACTTAAAACACCTAATAATGAACGTGTCAATTAAATCTTTGTTTTTCTTGTTATAGTGAAACCAAGAATCGATCGCACAAACTTGAAGCCTATCACCGTAAAAGCTGGCAAAGCGATCAAATACGACGTGGACGTACGCGGTGAACCTCCTCCAGAAATCACTTGGTATCACCGTAACCAAGAAGTTAAAACTGGCGAAAATATCGAAATTGTTAACGTCGATTACAATACAAAACTCAATATTACCGATAGTGTGCGCAAGAACACCGGAGTATGGAAGATAAAGGCTGTAAACGCACATGGTGAAGACGAAGCCGAGGTCGAAATTACAGTACTTTGTAAGTTCAATAATATTCAATCATTAATACGGTTAACATAGTTTTATGAAATATCTGTTACAGAAAAAAACAATGAAAATTAGTAAAAAATATTATACTAATATGTCCAAAATTATTAGGATTAGTTCTTCAAAAATGATCTATTTTTTTCTGCTAGTTTCAGCATTAATTCAAAGATTTGCTCAATATTTTTTCGTTATTATGTCTTCCCTGTAGAATTGTATGTTCCATTAATTTTCTGAAATTTGAAAAATTGAAAACATTTACATTAATAATTCACTACTATGACTCACAATAAATATTCTGATCATTATTAATCAGTAATAAAAAATTTTATTTAAATCTTAGAATAAAATTATATAATATATGATTAATTAAATATATAAATCTTAAAATTATTAAAACTTTATTAAATTAGTTTGAATTTATAATATTCAACAATAATTTATGTGACGTTTAATATATTTCATCATAAACTTAACAGCGTCTCCTGGAAAACCGAAGGGTCCTTTGAAAGTGTCCGATGTAACGAAGAGCGGTTGCAAATTGAAATGGGACAAGCCAGAAGACGACGGTGGAAAACCTTTGAGTGGATATGTAGTGGAGAAACTCGACAAATCCACCGGAAGATGGGTGCCGGTTGGACGTACCTCCCCTGGAGAGACCGAACTAGAAGTTAAAGGTCTCCAAGAAGGCCACGAGTATGAATTCAGAGTCAAAGCGGTTAATGAAGAAGGCGAATCCGAACCACTGATCACTGAAAGCACGACTGTTGCAAAGAATCCTTATGGTAAGATAACATTTTCTTTCCTCGCTTACCTTATAAAAGACGCAAAATATAAACTTATATTTGCAAACGTTTCTCCAATTTATATATCATTTCACGCATTTCTAACTGGACAATGAAATATGTAACATTCGAATAATTTTCAGACGTAGCCAGTAAGCCTGGTGTACCAGAGTTCGAAGATTGGGACGTGGATCGTGTCGATCTGAAATGGGAACCACCGAAAAATACGGGAGGTGCACCTATTACGGGTTATATAATCGAAATGAAAGAGAAACCATCAAGCCATTGGGTAGAAGCTGTTACAACCGAATCACCACAACCAAAAGGACGTGTCACGGGCTTGAAAAAAGGTTCTGTTTATCAATTCCGTGTACGTGCCGTTAACAAAGCCGGACCATCCGAACCGAGCGATTCAACGAAGCCTCATGTTGCTAAGGCAAGATACTGTGAGTATCTTTCAGTTACTTCTTATGTTAATATTATCACTAGTCTGCAGTCTAATTGTACAATTTTACATTCCTTTGAATTAATTAATATTTTATAATTGTTTTACCTGTTAAATATTATAAAAGGAGTATTATTCTTTGAATATTTTGTATATTTTCGTATATTAAGTATATTGTGTGTATTTTTACTTCTCTAGATTTTCCATAAATAGATAAAAATCTAGTTGTCATTAAACTGTAAACGTTCACGCAATGGACATTTAAATATCTACTCTAAAATCTCACTTATTTTATATTTTCAGTGAAACCACACATCAACCGCGAGAAACTACAAACGATCAAAGTAAGAACAGGTCAATCGGTGAAACTAGAAGTCGACATCGAAGGTGAACCACCACCAACAGTCAGTTGGATCTTCGGTGGTGCAGAGCTCCAAACTGGAGCCAACGTGAAGATCGATAATGAAGATTATCTAACAAAGATTCAGTTGACTCAAACTAGCCGAAAACTCAGTGGCAAATATACCATCAAAGCCGTAAATTCTTCTGGACAGGACGAAGCTGACGTTGAAATTATAATTCTCGATAAGCCTGGAAAACCAGAGGGACCTCTCGAAGTGACAGATGTTCACAAGGAGGGATGCAAATTAAAATGGAACAAGCCAAGGGACGACGGTGGTTTACCTTTGTCTGGTTACTTGGTCGAGAAAATGGATACAACGACAGGTCGATGGGTATCAGCTGGAATTGTCGATCCTGACAAAACAGAGCTAACTCTGACTGGCTTGGAACCTGGCAAGAGATACGAGTTCCGCGTGAAAGCTATGAACGAGGAAGGAGAATCAGATCCTCTGCAGACGGACGTTCCTATCCTCGCTAAGAATCCTTACGGTATGGTGAATTATTTTGGAAATTTGTACAAAATATTGAATTTGCGTATTGTTCCTTTTATTCTTTTGATATTGATGGATATTTAAATCGTGAACACACATGGTGGACAAAAGGAATTTAAAAGGCAAATGATGCAAGACAAGATGTAATTTTAATAAAATAGAATTATATTTGATATGAGCAATAATGTATAATATGATGAAAACTATTCAATCTTGTTTAAAATTAGATAATTAATTTGTTAATGAAACAAAATACATTATAACAATATTTAAACTTGTACTTTCAGACGTACCTGGTGCACCTGGTCTACCAGAGATCATCGACTGGGCCGAGAATATGGTGAAACTCAAATGGGAGCCACCACTTCGAGATGGTGGAGCATCTATCACAGGATATATAATTGAAATGAAAGATAAGTTTGGTACTACTTTTGTAAAGGCTGCAGAGATCGATAAACCGGTTTGTACGGGAACAGTGACTCGATTAGAAGAAGGAAATCAATATCAATTCAGAGTTCGAGCGGTGAATAAAGCCGGTCCTGGTGAACCTAGCGAAGCTACCAATCCTCACACTGCCAAAGCTCGTTGGTGTAAGTATCTTAATTTTAAATAGATTGAAACTTCTTAGATAAAAGTCAACGCATTGTGCCATCATTTTAAGGATATATAAATTTTATTTATTTTTTAATTGTACGTTTAATAATAATAATAAAAATTTATAAAAAAATCAATTAATAATTAATAAGTTAATTAAGCACTGATAAAAATTCTATTACTGTTTTATCCTGTTACAGTGAAACCATTCATCGATCGTACCAATTTGCAACAGATAACTGTGAAAGTTGGTCTTACCGTAACTTTGGATGTGAACATCATCGGTGAACCACCACCAAATGTGACTTGGTATTATAAGGAAAAAGAGCTTAAATCGGACGATACAATACGTATCGATAATATTGATTACAATACCAAATTCTTCATTTTGAAGACTAAGAGAGCTCATACCGGTACATACGTAATCAAAGCGAAGAATGAAGTTGGCGAGGATACTGCCGATGTCGAGATAATCGTCATTGGTAAACCAAGCAAACCAAAAGTACGTATTTTATTAAAATTATTTCTATGTTTCCTATATTAACATTAGCAAAGTAAATTGTGATCGAAAATAATAATTTAACTATAATGTATGTGTTTTGAAAAGTATTAAAATTACAAATATAAAAGTTTTATGTTTAAATATAAATATATGTGTAAATATAAAAGTTTTGTGTTTTGAAAAGTATTAAAATTACAAATATCTATTTGAAATGAATCACAATAATTTAATATATTAATAAACACACACACACACACACACACACAGAGTGTTAAAATTATCGTTGGGAAATGAGAAAAACTATATCTTATCTAAAGTCGGTTATAAAAGTATAGCTATTCGCAAACAGTGGATTAAAAAAATTAAGAAGAAATCATATTCTTTAAAAATTATGAAACTTGTAATCAATTAAGAAAATGAAAAAATTGAAACAATCTTACTTTACAGGGTCCTCTAGAAATCTCCGACGTGAACAAACACGGTTGCAAATTGAAATGGGAGAAACCCGATGATGACGGTGGTGTGCCAATCGAATACTACGAGATCGAAAAATTGGATCCTCTTACCGGGCAATGGATCCCTTGCGGGAAGTCCGTGGAGCCGGAAGCTACTATAACCGGGCTCCAGGAAGGCAAACCGTACAAATTCCGCGTAAAAGCGGTAAATCGCGAAGGTGAATCCGACGACTTGGAAGCGGATAAATCTATCATAGCTAAAAATCCATTCGACGAGCCAGGCAAACCTGGTCGTCCAGAACTTAAAAATTGGGATAAAGACTTCGTTGATCTCGAATGGACGCCACCAAAGGACGACGGTGGTGCTCCAATTGAGAAATACATCGTGCAGATGAGAGACAAAGAAGGACGGCAATGGATAGACGTCGCTAAGGTTCTTGGAGATCGTACTGTTGCCAAGGTCACCGATGGCATCGAAGAAGGTCACGAATATGAGTTCAGAGTGGTTGCTGTTAATAGAGCAGGTCCTGGTGAACCCAGCGACACGTCGAAGAGTGTTGTGGCCAAACCGCGATTCTGTAAGTAAATAAGTTATATATGAAATATTCTAAAGTAAAATTAGTTAGGTCTAAGAAAAAATTTTGTAGAGCTAATTAACAATTATAAACTTATAATAACTTAAAATATAATTAATGATTATTAATCATTTTGATCAAATTATGTTTCCATTGGTTTTCAAGCGTTTTAATCAATGCATATATTTCTTTTGTATGTTGAGTTTTCTATTTTCCTATTGTGACTTGATGCTAATAAATTCTTTTTCTTCTTTACTATAAAGTGGCACCAATGATCGATCGCAAGAATCTACAGAAGAAAGTTATGCGAATGGGACAATTATTACGAATCGAAGCAAATATACAAGGTGAACCACCACCACTCGTTACTTGGAAACTCAAGGATGCCGTGCTTAAGAGCATGGATCGTCTCAAGATTGAAAATGAAGACTATCACACCACTTTTATTATAAGCAAACTGCAAAGATCAGATGGTGGTACTTACACTGTTATTGCCAAGAATGACAGCGGTACCGATCAAGTTGACGTTGAGATCCATGTATGTTAAAATTTTTACGTTACTTAATTTATTATCACTGTGTCGTTTCGAAAAGTTCTGCAGTTGTTATAAGTTGTTATAAATGTAATTTTTATAAACACAAGGATTTCATTCGCTCATTAAATATTATAACGAATATTTATAAAAGAAGAAGAACAAACGATAAATTATTATTTGCTCTAGGTATTGAGCAAACCTGGCAAACCAAAAGGACCACTCGATGTGTCAAACGTGACAGCAGAGGGATGTAAATTGAAATGGGAGAAACCGGACGACGATGGTGGCGAGCCAGTCGATCATTATGTCATTGAGAGGATGGACGTTGATACCGGAAGATGGGTACCTTGCGCCACGAGCAAAACTCCAGAGGCAGATATCACTGGCCTCAACGAAGGCAAGGATTATATGTTCCGGGTGAAAGCTGTCAATTCCGAAGGTGAATCCGAACCATTGGAGACACTGATTCCAACCACTGCCAAGAATCCTTATAGTAAGTAGATGCATATTATTTTAATTTGTGTTAAAAAAATCCTCACTCTTCTAAATAAATACATACTATCAAAACTAAAATTAGTATAGTGGTTAAGAACCACTACAAACAACATTTTTACTTTCTCTGACAATTTCCACAATTTTTCTATTTTATCATAGCCGAGCCAGACGCTCCAGGCAAGCCAGATCTGAAAGACTGGTCCAAGCAGCACGTCGATCTAAAATGGAAAGCGCCGAAGAAAGACGGTGGAGCGCCGATCGAGAAGTACATAATCGAAAAGAAAGATCAGTACGGAAAATGGCAGAAAGCTGCCGAAGTTCCTGGAGACAAAACAGAAGGCAGAGTCGAAGGCCTCATCGAAGGTCAGAAATATCAATTCCGTGTGAAAGCCGTGAACAAAGGTGGTCAGAGCAAACCCAGCGAACCAAGCGACAATCTAGTCGCCAAGGATCGTTACGCAGCACCAAAGATCGATCGTACAAACTTGAAGGACCTAACAATCAAAGCTGGCACTCACATTCGATTAGACGTGAAAGTTACAGGTGAACCACCTCCAACGAAGACGTGGTATCTTAACAAAGTCAAACAAGAACCTGGTGGCGTGTTGAATGTCGAGGTAGAAGATTACAGAACCAAATATTTGATATCGTCAGCTAGCAGATCTCATTCTGGCACGTTAACGTTGAAAGCAGAGAATAGCTCTGGAAAAGACGAAGCCTCGATAGAAATTATAGTCTTGGATAAGCCTGGAAAACCAGAGGGTCCTCTAAAAGTGTCTGACGTGCATAAAGAAGGATGCACGCTGAAATGGAATCCACCTTTGGATGATGGTGGTACACCGTTGGATCATTATGTAGTTGAGAAAATGGATACTGAAACAGGAAGGTGGATACCAGTGGGACGTACGAAAGAGCCTACTATGGTGGTGGAGAATTTGACACCTGGTCAGGAATACAAGTTCCGAGTTTCTGCTGTGAACTCTGAAGGCGAGTCGGAACCTCTGGAAACTGACCATGGAATCGTTGCCAAGAATCCATTTGGTTAGTATTTAAATTTTTATTGATTTATAATATTGTATTAATTAATCGCTTAATGTTAAATTTATGTATTTTCACTTATATGCTCCCAATTAATTATTTATATAGTTCCATATATAGTCCATTTATGTATATCTATATATTTATTTATATTTTTCAATTTATATATTCATTTACATATTTCCATGTATAAAATGAAAAGTATGTTATATAGCTAAACATATAAATTACATTTAACATTCAATTTATTATTTATTTTAATGTCAGTGTTCTTTTTTGATATGCATTTAAATTTTTATTTCAGGAATAGAAAAATACTTCTCATTGTCACGAAGTTTGAATTGTTTCAAATATTATTCGTGTATCATAATATTCTGAAAATTTTGAAAGAAGAAAAACAAAAGATAATATTCTATGTTCATTTTACAGACGAACCTGGTCCTCCTGGTCGACCAGAGGCAGCCGATTGGGACAAGGATCACATAGACCTAAGATGGACTCCACCCTTAAACGATGGTGGATCTCCAATCACTGGGTACATAATTGAGAAACGCGAGAAAGACAGTCCACGATGGATAAAGGCTTGTGAAACCGGACCTGAGTGCAAAGGACGCGTCGATAATCTCGACGAAGGTGTCGAGTACGAGTTCCGTGTGAAAGCAGTTAACATTGCTGGACCTGGTGAACCATCCGAAACCAGCAAACCGATTACAGCGAAAAGTCGACGACGTAAGAGACATTTTTCTGTATTTATACATTGTCTTCATCAATTAGGTAACATACAAACCACACTGATAATTCCACATGAAAACTATATTAAAAGAAAAATCGTCAATGTATAATACACTCTGTATGATAGTCTTCATTTACAGTTTTTTTTTTTTAACGTCGCTACTAATTCTTTTTTTAACAGTTGCACCTAAGATCGACAGGAAGAACTTGCGCGACATCACGGTACGCGAGAACGAAGCGTTCCACTTTGATGTCAAAATCATCGGAGAACCACCACCAGATGTTACATGGCTTCTTAATAACAAGAGTATTCAACAAACAACGTTCCGTAGGATACAGAACGTTCCATATAATAGCAAGTTCTTTAATGACAAACCCGAACGAAAGGACACTGGTATTTATAAAATCACGGCTATCAATCAGTATGGATCTGACACAGCAGAAGTGGAAGTCACAGTTGTCTGTAAGTATTCATTCATTTTATTGTTTAAAATAATTTATTGTCTATTTATTGTTTAGTCAAATGTTTCATTATTACTTATCAAATAACAATACGAGTAATTGTTTTTTCCATTTAATTTTATACGAGTAAATTATAAATTATTATAATATATACATAGTAGTTTTTATTATTAAGTTTGTGGAAAAAATTAGTTGTAAAAGACAAAGTGATTTATTTTGCAAAATAAAAATCACAAAATTATAAGATCCTTATTATGTTTAATTAAAATTTTGTCATTTTGAGGATTGATAGATCTCTACATAATTTGGCTCAGTTATAATATTTAAAAACTCCAATTTTATCCAAAATAATATAAATTTTAAACACTCAATACATTTATTCCAATAATTCTTTCGCAGCTAAACCTGGAAAACCCGAAGGACCACTCGAAGTATCCGATATTCACGCAGAAGGATGCACCCTCAAATGGAAGAAACCAAAGGACGACGGTGGAGAACCGATCGATGGATACCTCGTGGAGAAATTTGATCCAGATACTGGTGTTTGGTTACCAGTTGGTAAGACGACAGGACCGGAAATGAAGGTAGAAGGACTGACACCTGGACACGAGTACAAGTTCAGAGTAAAGGCGCTTAACAAAGAAGGAGAATCGGAACCATTGGAGACATTCAGCTCCATCGTGGCCAAAGATCCATTCAGTAAGTGCAAGTATTAGATTTTAATAATTTTATCCAATTAATAAATTTACATATGACATATCCATAGGATATCTAATATCTTAATGATAATGATTTAATAAATTTTAGATACATATTTTCATAATATTTTAGAATTACAGTTGTATTCATCATAAGTATGCCGGCAGTAGTATAAGTCAAGCATTCAACAATTTAGATTCACTCACATATTTCATTCTTTTTAAATTCTTTAGATTCATAGCAAATTATTCTCCATTTATAATTTTTATTAATGTAATAGTATTTTATTCTCTATTATGATATATCTTCATAATTTAGAAAGGTGTAACGAACATTTTATAATAACAAAAGAACTATATAATTATAGAATAGAACGTCAGCTTCTACAATATATCAGCATATTCCGACAAAACAATTTTATTATATTAAAATTTTATCAAACAAATTCTTTCAGCCGTACCAAGTCCTCCTGGTGCACCAGAACCAGTTGATTGGACCGCCAACCAGGTTGAGCTTACTTGGAAAGAACCAGTCAGCGATGGTGGATCACCTATCACCGGATACATCATCGAGAAGAAAGACAAATACAGCACAATGTGGGAAAAGGCTTTGGAAATCGAAGTACCAACCACGAAAGGTCTTGTTCATGGACTCATCGAGGGCAACGACTACCTGTTCCGCGTGATAGCTGTGAACAAAGCTGGACAATCAGAGCCTAGCGATACCAGCAAAACATTCACCGCCAAACCACGTTATCGTAAGTATATTCTGTTATTAATTCCAGTCTATTAATGATTTAATCAAGCCGAAACGAATTTATGTTTCAATGATCATGGCGTCCGTCCAATTTATTTAACACCGCGTTCTATCCCTGAAGACAAAAGAAGCAGCACCCTCGTTGCAAACTACTAATGCCATACATAGCTCATGGATAGATATCGTTAACGATATCACACCCAACACTTTATAAATACCAATTTTTGGCACTTGATCCAACACTAGCTTACATAAATTTCACTTCGACAGTGGCACCCAAGATCGATCGGCGCAATCTCCGTGATGTTACACTGTCGGCTGGTTCGCTATTGAGATTCGACGCTAATGTGATCGGCGAACCACCACCGCACATCGACTGGCGTTACGGCGCTATTCCTCTGCATTCCGACAGAAAGGTGCAGATCGACAATTCCGATTACAGCACGAAATTCAGCATACGTCCGGTGTCACGGGACGACAGCGGTGATTATACTGTCACGGCCATTAATTCTTCTGGAAGAGATTCTGTCACCGTACAAGTCACGGTTACCGACAAGCCAATGCCACCTGAAGGTCCGCTTCAGGTATCGGACGTGCACAAAGAAGGATGCAAGCTGAAATGGAAAAGACCGAAGGACGATGGCGGTACGCCTATCGAATATTACCAAGTGGACAAAATGGACCCGGAGACTGGATGCTGGGTACCTTGCGGACGATCTACCGAACCTGGTAAGTTCTGTGATACAACTATCCATAATAATAATAATAATAATAATAATAATAATAATAATAATAATAATATATATATATAAACAAGCTATAGAAAGAGAAATTTCTTTTCTAAATTATTAAATATTATATATATTCTAAATTATTAAATTATAATTATATATAATTATATTTCTAAATTATTAAATATTAAATTATTAAATATTATATATATTCTAAATTATTAAATTATAATTATATATAATTATATTTCTAAATTATTAAATATTATATATATATAATATTTAATAATTTCTCTATATTAGTGTATAATAATAATTGTAGTTATATGTGTAATGATTATTTACAATAATATATATAATTGATATGATTCTAAAAATTAAATCGTAAGACAATCAGTTTTCTTGACGTTCGAATTTGATATATTCATTTTTATTTCGATCTTGATTTTTAATTTTGATTAATTTACATTTTCTGATCAATTGTCAAGTTATAAAAAGAGAAATTTATTTTCATTTGTCTTAACAGCTTTGGAAGTAAGTGGATTGACACCAGGCAAAGAATATCTATTCCGAGTTAGCGCTGTAAACGCCGAGGGTGAATCTAAACCTCTGGAAGCTGAACAAGCAATTCTAGCTAAGAACCCATACGGTAAGTAAATGCAAACGAAAATTGAATATTTACTCAACATTATATTTTAATTTATTTATAATTATACTTATTAAATTGAATACTGATTTTACCAAATTAAACTCTATTCTTAATTGTATTTGTTATTCCAAAATCTTTAAACTTCAAATGAATCAGATAAACTAATATTAATATAATTAAAGCCACGTAAAAAAAACATTTCCAATTTCTAATTTCATTTTTAATTATATTTATCATTCCTAAACTTCGAATGAGTCGGATAAGCTATGTAATATTAATGCAATCACAAACTCTTCTCGTAGTTATTAATTTAAATTCATAACATCAAATTTCATCTTGAACTTATCATTTCTAAACCGTAGACGAGCCAGACAAACCAGGCGATCTCCGTGTCACCGACTGGGACAAGGACCACGTTGATCTTACGTGGATACCGCCAGCGAACGACGGCGGTTCGCCAATTACTGGCTACATAATTGAGAAGAAAGATAAATACGGCGAATGGGAGAAGGCCTTAGAAGTACCAGCGGACGAGACATCTGCCACTGTTCCCGACTTAATAGAAGGCCAACCGTACGAGTTCCGCGTGCGAGCCGTAAACAAAGCTGGCCCTGGCGAACCTTCTGATCCAACGCCAACGATCATTGCCAAGCCACGAAACCTACCACCGAAAATCGATCGTACAAATCTGGTGGAGGTCAGAATCAAAGCTGGTCAGAACTTCGGCTTTGACGTGAAGGTTACGGGCGAGCCTCCTCCAGTAACGAGATGGATGTTAGCCAAACGCGAGGTTCGACCCACCGAGCGTATAAAAGTGAAACACGTGGATTACAATACGAGTCTCCACGTGAAAATGGCTAGCAGAGCAGAGTCTGGAAAGTATCAGATCATTGCTGAGAATATAAACGGCATGGACGAGGAGTTTGTGAAGGTGACAGTTTTGGATATACCGAGCCCGCCACAGGGACCACTGAGAGCGTCTGACGTGCACGCAGAAGGATGTAAATTGTCTTGGAAACCACCGGAGGACGATGGTGGCCAACCAATCGATAAGTATGTCGTTGAGAAAATGGATGAAACGACTGGTCGTTGGGTGCCTGCAGGAGAGACCGATGGACCAGAGACTTCGTTGAATGTGGAAGGACTTACGCCAGGGCACAAGTACAAGTTCAGAGTTCGCGCGGTGAATAAGCAAGGGAAATCGGAGCCGCTCACAGCGGCGCAGAGCATCGAGGCGAAGAATCCATTTGGTGAGTGAATTTTCATTTGTGATATATATCGTTATTGAAATGGATGTTATTAAAATAATAGATTTCAAAAACGATGAACTAAATAATGTAAAGTAGAATCGAAAATTCAAAGATACATGCAATTTATATAATATTCAATAATATATAAAATATTCAAAACAAAATTCTCATCAAGAATCAAATTTCTATTTAGATGAATTACATAAATAATTACGCAATGTTCAAAATTTTAATTTAGATAATTATGTAATATTCAAAATTTTTGTATAGATAAGTATATAATATTCAAAACTATATAGAATATTCAAATTTTTGTTATAATTTTTATTAAATAAAATAAATTTCTGTTTAAATCTCATTTCTTCACTTGCATTCATAAAAATATGAATTTACATAGAACCTGACGATTTGATTATTATCTTTAGACGAACCAGGAAAACCTGGCACGCCGACTATCTCCGATTACGACTCGGACTTTGTCGAACTTCAATGGGATCGTCCACAAGAAGATGGTGGTTCACCCATTACTGGTTACATCATAGAGAAACGAGACAAGTATAGTCCTACCTGGGAGAAATGTGCAGAAGTCGAGGGTGACGTGAATCGTGGAAAGGTGCCCGATCTCGTGGAGGGCACGCATTACGAATTCCGTGTTAGAGCTGTTAACAAGGCTGGACCCGGTGAACCTTCTGACGCTTCTAAATCTCACTTGGCTCGACCTAAGAATCGTAATTATCTCTTTATTTTTTCCGTTTATGTCATATCATTACACATTAATAACATATCGTTATACGTACGCATGAACACACGTATACAGTACACGCAAATGTGTTATGCATTCATACCTTCGTATGAAATTATGTATTATTATGCATAGTAATAATACATATTAGAATATATACAGTATTAATGCGTATGATAATATAATTTATTAAATATAATGCATATTATAAATATCTAATAATTAATAATATTTATTGTACATTTTATATTATAAAATCTAGAAGATGAATAAGAATAGATGTCCTTTACGTACTATGTAAAGAACTATAATTTAATAAATTATATTATTATGTACGTTACATTATATTACATATAATGTAACATAATATTAGTAATTTATATTATATTATATTGTATATATTATATTATATTATATTGTATATATTATATTATATTGTATTTGTACGTTAAAAAACGTTTCTTACTTTACTCTACGTTTCATACTCATTCGCGTATGAATGTTCATTTCCAGTTCCACCAAAGATCGACAGAAAGTACATGCTGGATGTGAAAGTGAAGGCCGGTGGCTTCTTCGACTTCGACGTTCCTGTTATCGGTGAACCGCCACCAACTAAACAATGGTCGCTAAAAGGAACAGTACTCATAGCAAACGATCGTATCAAGATCATAAACGAAGACTACAACACCAAAGTCCGTGTGATCGAGGCAAAACGTTCCGATGCTGGTGTCTACACTCTCGAAGCAAAGAACATCAACGGCAGAGACAGTGCTACCCTAAATGTAAACGTCCTGGACATTCCGGCGCCACCAGAAGGACCTCTGAAGATCGACAACGTGACAAAGAACGGTTGCAATCTGAAATGGCGCCCACCAAAGGACGACGGTGGCTCAGAAATTCTATATTACCAAGTCGAGAAGATGGACACAGAAAACATGAGATGGGTGCCTGTAGCAGAGGCTTCTTCCACTTCTGCGCAGGTGGATCACTTGATCGAAGGCCACGATTATCAGTTCCGTGTACGTGCTGTGAACAAACAAGGAGAATCGTTGCCACTCGTTGGTATAGATACTATCACCGCGAAGGACCCGTACGATAAGCCTGACAAACCTGGAGCACCTGTTGCCACTGATTGGGATAAGGATTTCGTGGACTTGGAATGGACACCACCGAAGAAAGACGGTGGATCACCTATCACTGGATATATTATTGAGAAGAAACCTCGTTTCGGTTCGTGGGAGAAAGCTTTGGAGGTCGATGGAGCTAAAACTAACGCCAGGATACCGGATTTGGTCGAAGGTCAAGAGTATGAGTTTAGAGTCATTGCTGTTAATAAAGCTGGTCCTGGAGAACCATCTGAAGCTTCATCTCCTATCGTGGCGAAACCACGACGGCGTAAGTAACCAATATTTCTGTCTTTTTTTCTTAATTTTGTTTTATATTTTTGAGCTTAAGTTTGTTTAAGTCATCAAATTTATCATTATTAGATTTTTTTGAGTTCAATTTTTAAATAATAACAATATACTCGACTTTATTTAAGCGATCAAATTCAATTGTACTAGATTTTTCAATTTGTCTTTTATTCAATATTTAAATAAAAAATTTCAAAGTTTACTTTGCATTTTCAAATTTTTAATTCAATCTTATTAAATTTTACTATTTGTTTTCCAAATTTAATTTTTAAATAGAAGACACTTAAGATCAAGTATGTATATGTATGATCATTTTTCTTGCAGTTGCTCCATCTTTCGATCCACATGCATTGAGCGACATGGTTGTTCGAGCTGGACAAAAGATCAGCTATATCATTCCTATCCAAGCATCGCCTAAACCTATAGCTACATGGACTTTAGACGGAGACGTGATCATGGCCGATTCTCGCCATGAAATGTTCACTACTCACACTGAAACCACCTTTGAAATTCCATTCTCCGTCCGCTCTGACACTGGTCGTTATGCTTTAACATTGCAGAACGAGCACGGAAAGTTCAGGTAATTTTTATATTTTTATAAATATTGTCCCGATTATCTGAAAATTGGTCAAACAATATAACGAAATAAAATGTTTCAGTTCAAGCGCCAGAGTCACCGTCCTCGACAGACCATCACCACCACAGAAACCACTCGACATCAGCAAGATCACCAAGGAAGGTTGCCACTTGACATGGGGTCATCCACTGGACGATGGTGGCAGTCCTATATTGCATTATATTATCGAAAAGATGGATTTGTCTCGAGGTACTTGGTCCGATGCTGGTATGAGCACGATATTGAGTCACGAGGTAGCACGATTGACGCATCGCAAGGAATATCTGTTCCGTGTGAAAGCTGTAAACAGCATCGGAGAATCCGAGCCGCTCGAAGCATCAAAGAGTATTGTCGCCAAGAATTTGTTCGGTTAGTATTAATTTTTATATATATTTATATTTCGCATATTTATATATAATATTAAAATTATTTTAATATTTTTAGACGAACCCGATGCTCCTGGAAGACCACAGATCACAGACTGGGACAAAGATCACGTCGACCTGCAATGGCCAGAGCCAGCAAGCGATGGTGGTTCTCCCATTACGGAATACATTGTTCAGAAGAAAGAAAAAGGTAGCCCATACTGGGTCAACGCGATTCACGTTCCTCCAAATCAGACAAGTACAACCGTGCCTGATTTAACGGAGGGACAAGAGTACGAATTCCGTGTAATAGCTGTTAATGCTGCTGGACAATCAGAGCCATCGGAGCCAAGCGACCTCATCACTGCCAAACCTCGTTATCGTGAGTATAATTCCATTTTAATTTTTATTTATGAGAAATTTGCCAAAACGTAGCAAATATACAAATAAAAAAAGTTTATACGCCACATTGGACTTAATTAAACGAAATAACATTTAAAGACTATTTATTTATGGTTAATGTTTCAGAATTTAAATATTTTAATATAAATGTTCAAATATAAATATTTAAAAATGTTATATTTTATGAGATAAAAATAGAAATGGTACTTTTCGTAATAAAATTAAGCATTTCCTTATTTACACACTCGCCACTTTACACATAAAAAGGCATATAAAATGCCATAAGTACTTGTTAAAATATCAGAAAAATAGGAAACGTAAAAATGTAAAAGATGAAAATTATCCATACTCATAAAAACGTAAATTATGCATGAATATGCATAAATATCCACTATCTACTTATCATTTTTCTAATTAGTACCATTATTATAAACTATCCAAACGTTTTATCAATAACAATTTAATATTTCAGTTGCTCCGAAGATCAAAACGCCTTTGCAAGACATTCGAGTCAAGGCTGGCCTCATCTTCCACGTCGATATCGACTTTGTCGGTGAACCGACTCCAGAAGTCACCTGGACTGTTGGAAGTAAAGAATTGGAGACCACGAATAGAACAACTGTTACCTCAATTGGTTATCACACTATTGTTCACACCGTTAACGCTCAAAGATCTGATTCCGGATTGTATCACTTGCTACTAAAGAACAGTAGCGGAATAGACGAAGGTAGCTTCCAAGTTATCGTTCTCGACAGACCCAGCCCACCGGAAGGTCCTCTGCAATACGAAGAGATCACAAGTCAATCGGTCACCTTGTCATGGAAACAACCTAAAGATAATGGTGGTAGTGAGATCACGTAAGTAATTAACATAGATTATAAGTACATGATTTGAGCTTTAAAAAAAAAAAAACAGATTTCAAATTTCTATAGAATATTTTCTGGGAATGTACATATATTTCTCAAGAGTTACTATTAAGATTTGTATATAATAAAATTTTAAGTATTTTAAATTTTCCTTATTTTGCAAAAAGTGCAAAAAAATATTATTAATTTTATATTACATTATGAAATAAGATAATGGTAATAGTTTAACAATTTTTACTATTCTTTTTAGTGGATACGTAATCGAGAAACGTGATTTGACCCACGGTGGCGGTTGGGTTCCAGCTGTAACACACGTGAATCCGAAATATACCCACGCCACAGTACCAAGATTACTCGAAGGTACAACATATGAGTTTAGGGTAAGCGCGGAGAACCTTCAAGGACGTTCGGATCCTCTAACTACCGATCACTCGATCGTCGCTAAGAACCAATTCGGTAAATTTTTTCTTTATCTTCAAATATCTATAATGCAAACCATATAATAAATATCTATTAGTTATAGGTCAATTAAAATTTTACATTTTATATTTATATTTTTATATATATTACTACAATTTCTATTCTATTTTTATTCTATTTTTACTAATTTAACAACGCCAAAAATATTTTCTATAAAGAAGTATTGAAAGTAATTGACAACTGAAATACATTAAGCTACATAGTATGTATATTAAAAGCTTTGGGAATTCTATACTATTTACCCTCTTTTATATCATATAACTTGAAAGTTACATATGTATCTGGAATTCTCAAGCTTGAGGCTTAAGATACAAGTTAATTTGATGCGAGATAGCTATACATATTTTATAAACTATCAGTCTGCTTATATTGTATTATAAATTAAATAAAAGATACTAGATGTCTTCGAATATTAATTTATTTGATTAAAGTCAAACTAATATGTCTCTGTTTCATTCAGTTGCACCTGGACAACCTGGTAAACCAGAATGCGTCGACGCGGACAAAGACCACATCAAGATCAAATGGGCAGCGCCAATCAGCAACGGTGGATCAAAGATCATCGGTTACGACGTGGAACGACGCGATCGTGCAACTGGTCGCTGGTTGAAGTTAACTAAAGAACCAGTGAAAAATACCGAATATTACGACGATCACGTAACCGAGGGACACCAATACGAATACCGGGTCACTGCAATAAATGCAGCTGGCTCGGGCAAACCTAGCGACACGTCCGCTGTATTTATCGCGAAACCAATGAAAGAGAAACCGAAATTGAACCTGGACGCGCTGATTGGACGCAAGATCAAGGTTCGCGCCGGAGAACCGATCAATGTTAACATTCCATTGTCCGGCGCGCCAACCCCCACTGTCGAATGGACCAAGAATGCGAAGCCCCTTTTCGAAACTCTTCGAATATCGGTAAGCAAACTTTGATATCTAGGTCTATTATATACGAATGTCGTGTATAACGTAAAAATTAATTTTGCAATGGAATGGGACCTTTATTTTTTTTATCTGTGAAGATCTTTATTTGAACATAGTTTTGCACAATATTTATCGAGGGGCAGGAAATAGAATATTTTATCAAAAATTTTTTATTTGCTTTAGACTTTTATATTATGTAATTTAATTTAGTTTTATTACTAATATTTATTATATACTATTAATACTAATATATAATAATATTTACAATATATTTATAATATATAATAGTATTTATAATATACTAATATACTAATATTACTAATATGTATCAGAAAAAATATAAAATAAAGTTAAATATCTTAAATTTTTATAATATAATATAAATTACTAATATAGTTATCTGTGACTCCAAAATCTAAGGATTAATTTACATATAAAATACAGTTTTAATTCTTCACCAAAACAGTAATAAATATTATTGTTACAATGAATAAATATCGACGATTAATTTAACTTTTGTTAACTTCTGAATAATTTTCAGACCGAAACCAAGAGCGACCGCACGAACTTGTTGGTCGAAAAGTCCGTTCGAGAAGATGGCGGTATTTACACAGTCACAGCGACGAACGAGCATGGAAAGGACTCAGCAGACATCGAAGTTACCGTGGTCGATAGGCCAGGTCCACCTCAAGGTCCCTTACAATACACTGGTACCACGCAAGATTCTGTATCCTTATCTTGGAATAAACCTCTGGACGATGGTGGATCCGACATCACCAACTACATCGTCGAAGTATCAGAGTTCGGAGTTGATAACTGGCGTCAAACACCAGGATACTGTCCAAGAACGAGCTACACCGCCAAAGGTCTCAGCGAGGGCAAGAAATACGTATTCAGAGTACGAGCTGAAAATATGTATGGTGTGTCTGAACCATTGGAAGGCAAACCAGTTATCGCCAAGAGTCCATACGATCCACCAGATGCACCTAGTCAACCCGAAATCCTTGGATACACTCCCAATAGTTGCAGCCTTTTCTGGAATGCACCGCTTAATACTGGTGGCAAACCTATTACTGGTGAGACCTATTGCTTTCTTCTTTTTTTTCATAAGTATATGAATTTTACGAATTGATAAAAAATTGAAGGATGTTAAAAATTTTAAAAGAAGTAATGAATAATATTGCAATAAATAAATATTTTATTTATATGATGCAAGGAAAATATTTAAAGAAATAGTGCAACTGCAAAATGCGAAGAAAAGAATATGATCGGCTTCTCATCTTCTTCCTCTTACATTTTTTTCCAACCAACAAGAAGAGCGTTGTTTGTGAATCAGTCTGTGAATAGCATATAGATTTTCTTTCTTTTGTTCTCTAAATAAAAGATAAAGCTCTTCTAATTAAATTTTGTTCTACTGAAAATAATAATCAAATATTTGAATTATATCGATTCATTGATTGTTTATAGGATATTACGTTGAAAGACGAGAACGCGGTGGCGAATGGCTCAAAGTCAACAATTATCCGACTCCGAATACAACATTCACGGTGCAAGATCTTCACGAAGGATCTAAATATGAATTCAGAGTCATTGCTGTTAACGAAGCTGGATCTAGTAAACCCAGTAAACCAACTGAGCCTATCACTGCTGGACATCAGCGTTGTAAGTACAATGGAACATAATATGAGATGGTCTAATATTGCTACCAACGCATTATTTTGCATTTTGTCATTGCATTAAAATTAAGAACACAATATATTTTAAATCTTCAATTTTATGAAGCTCTTATGTTTTATATTCAATAATATTATAATATAAAAATATTAAAATATAATTAATATAAAATATAATTATATTAAATATAATAATATTAATATAAATATATTAATATAAAATATAAAATATAAAATATAAAAATATAAATATAATTAATATAAAATATAATTTAGTATTAAAATATAATTTACAATTTATTATAAAGCTATTTCCTGTTCATACGTAATATGTTCACATGTAAATTTTCATAGTAATAGCACAAAAATTATACTGTCTACTATAATGAAAACTAATATTTTATATTCTTACACTCTTTTCTCTAATTTTATCTTCGCTAATTTTATCCTCTTAACATTTTAATGAATTATCAAAAGAACTATTCGAAATAATCAATCATTCTATTTTCAGTGCGTCCTGATGCCCCCGACCCACCGAAACCAGACAGAATAACGAAAGATTCTGTCACACTAAGCTGGCGACCACCACGCAGCGACGGTGGTGCTAAGATCAGAGGCTATTTCGTCCAAATAAAGCAAAGAGGCCAGGACGAATGGGACGATGTAAACGGTGCTCCAATACCAACCAACGTGTATACAGTACCAAAACTCAACGAAGGAGAAGAATACCTGTTCAGAGTGATCGCAGTGAATGATGTCGGAAGAAGCGATCCAAGTAAACCAAGTAATCCGATCGTTATCGAGGAACAACCGAACAAACCTGTCATGGATCTCGGAGGAGTTCGTGACATCACCGTTCGTGCTGGTGAAGACTTCTCCATTCACGTGCCTTATATTGGTTTCCCCAAACCCGTTGCCACGTGGTATGCTAACGATGTTGTCAAGGATGAGACTGATTCACGTGTACATCAACAATTGGGTGACGACTATGCCAGGTATGATTGCCAAGTATTGAAGTGTAACAATTAAACTGCGGATCTTTATGCAAATTCATAGTTGCACTTTAAAATTTCCTACAAATGCATTGGAAAGTGCAAAGATGCACGTGATACATAAAAATATGAATTTTCAATAAAAATCTGCAGTGTAGTTATAAGAATTAAAAATAATAATAATTTGTAAAATTATAAAATACTATATCATTTATAATTGCATCATTTAATAATGGCAATGGCAGTAAAAATGAATGTTGTAAGTAGATTACTTATTATTAATATTAATATTATTACTTACACTGTTGTTAGTTTAAAAATATATATTCCACCCAAGATCCTAATTTCGATATTTAAGAATTAAAGAAACGTATTTAAATATAAAAGTAATAGTAATAATATGCAACTATATCATTAGAATCATTACTGATAATTAAAATACACTGTATTAAGGAACAAATAATTTTTTCCACAGTCTTGTGGTAAAGAATGCAAAACGTTCGGACGGTGGACAGTATCGTCTCCAGTTGCGCAATTCTTCCGGTTTCGACACCGCCACCGTGAACGTTAAGGTGCTAGATCGTCCATATCCACCTCAAAATCTACATGCTGATGAATTTGGCGGAGATGCTCTTACACTGTTCTGGAACCCACCAAAAGACAATGGAGGCGCAGATATCACGAACTATGTCGTTGAGAGACGAGAACCAAAGGGATCGTGGTCTAAGGTTTGTAGTTTAAAACATTACTTCTTAGTTTTAGGACAAGATTTGCTCCTAAAGAAATTTAAAAATTTTTTCTATATCTGTCTTTTTTAACAATATTCATCATCTTTTAAAGTGGAAATTGTTGAAATTGACCGTAAGATCTTACTTTTAAATTTTAATAACTCTATTAATCGCATAAAAATCCATATTTTTAAAAAAAGTATGTATAAATATTAATACAAAAAAATATAAATGTGTGATGTAAGATCATATAGAAATTATGTAATATAAATAAAATTAAAAAGTCCAAACTCAATGTGTTCCTTCCTTCCTTAAGAAATCTCCTCTTAAGTATTAACTTCTTATTTTCTTTAATAACAGGTGAGCAGCTATGTGACGACACCATTCTGCCGAGTAAGAAATCTAACAGTCGGAAGCGTATACGAATTCCGAGTGATGGCTGAAAACCAATACGGTACTTCGGATCCTGTAACTACGATAGATCCGATCAAGGCTAGACATCCATTCGATCCACCTGGAGCACCTGGAACTCCAAGAAGCGTTGAAACGTCGGAGGATAGCATTACCATTACTTGGACCAAGCCTCGACATGATGGAGGTTCACCTATCCTTGGATACACTGTTGAGAAACGACTATTGAGCGAAGACAAATGGACAAAAGCTACTCCATCTCTCGTTCATGACACTACTTACAGGTAATTCTTGTTTAATATCTTTGATTGATTAAGCTTACATCATTATGAGTATTTATGAATAATTAAAACATTTAATAAAAATTGAAACACATGGATTGATGCATTTGAACTTTTACAGAGTGACTGGTCTGATAGAGAATTATGACTACGAGTTCCGCGTAGCGGCAGAAAATGCAGCTGGAAAAGGACCATGGAGTTCCAACTCCGATGTGATCAGAGCCAGTGCAGCACCATGTAAGTATTCAGAGCGATTTGTTGAAGTATAATTTATTTGTAGATAAAGGAGAATAATTTTGAAAAATGAATTTTAAGCGAGAATGTACAATTATTGTAATACCAATGTACAAAAATTGTAATTGTGATTTTACTCGGATTCGTTTCAGTCCCACCAAAGATCACGTCTGACCTCAGCATCCGTGACATGACGGTGATTGCCGGAGAACCATTCACGATAACCGTTCCTTTCAATGCGAATCCAAAACCAAGACCAAGTTGGTCCATCAACGGCGAGGAAGTCCTTACAGGCGATAGAATCAAATTCGACACAACCGATATTGCCTCGCAGTTCATCAACAAGAAGGCCAAGAGATCTGATACAGGAACATACACAATCTATCTTACGAACACCGTTGGCACAGATTCTGCTTCGTGCAGGGTTCTCGTCGTCGGTAAGCATTTGTTTAAAATTACACAATTACATTTATTGTTGAGAAAAATTAAAGAATCGTTATCATATACGATTTTTATGGCATCAACATTTTTATAGTATCAAGCAAAAGTTCAATCAAGAAAAATTCTATAGACGTGAGACTGTAGACAGTTTGACTGTACTGAATACATATTAAACTAGTAGTATAGAATCGAAATTGGTCGTCCGAAATGTGTGGTTATACTGAATGAGATAAACAAAAAATGTGTACAGTACAATTGTACTTTCCTTTATTTATTTTGAATTTAAGCAGTATGCTTACCAATCGAGAAATGATTAACTGACGAATAATTATGTTCATAGATAAACCATCTCCACCACAAGGACCACTTGACATTTCTGATATCACTCCTGAAACTTGTACGTTGTCTTGGAAACCTCCGTTAGATGATGGTGGTTCACCCGTTACAAACTACGTCGTTGAAAAATTGGATCCAGCTGGCGTAAGTACTTTCTTTCTTTATATATTATGTAAAAAAATATTTATTATATTATATATAATAAATTGCTAACTTTAAAAAATTATTTAATAGCATTACTTGCTAAGAAATTAATTGCTAATTTTAAAAAAGGAGGAGAACGAAAGAGGAATATATATATATTATTTTTAATTTACTAGCTATTAATTTTTGGAAAAATTTTTATTTCTATATATATATATACTATTTCTTTCTATATACATATATGTATTAAAAAAAGTATATATATATATATAAAGAAATAAAAATTTTTCCAAAAATTAATAGCTAGTAAATTAAAAATTATATATATATATATATTCCTCTTTCGGTCTCCTCCTTTTTTAAAATTATCAATTAATTTCTTAGCAAGTAATGCTATTAAATAATTTTTTAAAATTAGCAATTATCAAATAACATACCAAATAATGTCAACTTCCAATAATTTTCTCTTCTTTTCTCTCTTTTCCCTCTAGAGATATACATTTTTTTAAAAATTGATAATTATTAAACGATACGTTGAATGATTTCAGTATTGGGTGAAACTCAGCAGTTTCGTAAGAAACACTCACTACGACGTGATCGGTCTTGAACCTAATCGTACATACAACTTCCGTGTTCGTGCGGAGAATCAGTATGGGGTATCAGAACCCTTGCAAGCCGATGAACCGATTACCGCGAAATTCCCATTCACGGTGCCCGACGCACCTGGGCAACCACGTGTTATCGATTGGGATACTTCGAACGCGACTGTGGTATGGACCCGACCGATGTCCGATGGTGGATCTCGTATTCAAGTATGCATATCAATGTTATTACGTATAGAACTTCTAAAGTAATAAAGCAACAATTAGCTACTTTTTATTTACTTTTATAGCTTTATAAAAGAAATGGAACTATATTGTAATAAATACAGAGTCTACTAAACCCACTAAATCACAGTCAAATCTTTAAAAATGCACTATTTTAAATCTACAAAATTTCTGTAAAAAATTGCCAACTACTTGTTCTAACTCATTCTGTTCAGTTCTCGCGTTAGCCAAATGTCATTTATCTTTGACAAAAATGATTTCAAAATTTAATGTAAAACACCAGAAGTTCAACATTGATACAAGGAACATTTGTTCTGCAACTTAAAAAAAAATTCGTTTCTGAAAGGGTTGAAGATTGACACTAGAACTACCGAAGATTAAAGTACAAAATTTCCATCAGAAACATTGTACAATACAACAATAAAGAGATAGAAAAGCTTTGTAATATAATAAATTACACGAAAAATCATTTAAGTCTTTAGAAATATGTACACTGTTTTATATTTATAAAGTTTCTAATGAAACTATAAATTCATCATTTCGACTACTTTGGTAGTTCTAGTAGTATTAACCAATCTGTTAGTTCCATCCTGTCGCAAATCACATTCGCAATGAACCAAATATCAATCGATCTCTTTCTCCTCAGGGTTACAAGATCGAATTCCGCGATCCTGCGGACGATGCCACATGGCGAGTGGCGAACGACTACCTGGTCAAAGACACCACCTACATCTGTTACAACCTATTAAGCGGACACGAGTATGAGTTTAGAATACGCGCAAAGAACGCAGCTGGTTTCAGCAAACCTAGCCCACCATCGGCACCATTCAAGCTAAAGAGCAAGTTCAACGTGCCTTCACCGCCAGGCACGCCGCAGGTCGTAAAGGTTGGCAGGAACTACGTGGATCTCAAATGGGAAGCCCCGATCTCCGATGGAGGAAGCCGCATCACCGGTTACGTGATCGAGAAACGGGAGGTCGGAAGCGCACTCTGGGCCAAGTGCAACGAGTACAACGCCATCGATACAGAGTACACCGTTCTGAATCTGATGGAACGGGGAGACTACGAATTCCGAATCTTCGCGGTGAACGCCGCCGGAAGATCAGAGCCAAGCTCTTGCACTACTCCGGTGAAGATCTGCGAGGTCGAGGGTGGCGAGAAACCAGAATTCGTCAAACCTCTGCCGATCAGCACGAACGTGCCACTTGGCAAAACTTTGGTCCTCGAGTGCGAGGCTGTTGGAAAACCATTGCCGACCGCAAGGTTCGTATCGAGAGTTTTCTTCCTTTTGATACTTTAATACACGAAAATTAACATATCGGATGACCTGATACAAAGTTCCAACTGATTGACAATTTCATATCGAAACTGGTAAAGTCCTAATATCTGTTAACAATTATTGTTAGTTTGCGACGTGCCTACAACCTACATAACATCACACGTTATTTCCATTTCTCACACAACATCAAACAAATCAACCAACACCACTTTATAAATTCCAGGTGGCTAAAGAACGGCAGAGAGATCACAATCGGCGGTCGTTTCCGCACCGAAGCTTTCGACGGAATCTACAGACTGATCATATCCGATGTCATGGACGCCGACAACGGCGACTATAGCTGTCAAATCTCAAACCCACTCGGTTTAGCTACCACGACTGGCCGTCTAAAGATCGGTTCTCCGCCTCGTATCGAGCGCATGCCAGACTATCTGTATCTAGCCGAGAACGACAACACGAAGATCAAGATCTACTACAGCGGCGACCAACCGATGAACATCACTCTGAAGAAAGACGGTCAGAAGATCGTCGAAACCACTCACATCAAGTACACCGTGTTCGACGAATACCTCATCATCTTCATCAAAGACATTCAGAAAGAAGACGCCGGTGTGTACGATCTATCGATCTCGAACGACAGCGGTAGCGTGAGCGGTTCGTTCAACGTGTACATCACCGGACTACCTGGACCACCAACCGGACCTCTCGACATTACAGATATTAACAAACATACGTGCACTCTCAGCTGGCGACCACCTAAATTCGACGGTGGCCTTCGTGTCACTCATTACATGGTCGAACGTCGTGACGTCAGTCATACTCACTGGATCATAGTTTCCTCGTTCTGCAAGGATTGCTCCTTCTTGGTACAAGGTCTGATCGAAGGACAAGAGTATCTGTTCCGCGTGATGGCCGTGAACGACAACGGAATGGGACCTCCTCTCGAGGGACTCAATCCTATCAAGGCTAAGGCACCGTTCGATCCCCCTGGTCCTCCGGGAACGCCAAAGGTCACCGAGGTTGGCGGAGACTTCGTGAATTTGTCGTGGGAGAGACCAGAATCGGATGGCGGCTCGAAGATTCAAGGCTACTGGATCGACAAACGCGAGGTCGGTAGCCAAGCCTGGCAACGCGTGAACGTGGCCATCTGTCTACCAACTCAGATCAATATCAGCAACTTAATCGAAGGAAGGCAGTACGAGTTCCGAGTATTCGCTCAGAACGCTGCTGGCATTGGGCCAGAGTCGAAGGCCTCGACTTCCGTGAAGATCACCGATCCTCAAGCGGCCAAAGCTCCAGAGGTGATTCAACCTCTGCACAAGGTGAGCTGCGTGCAGAACCACAACGCTCAGTTCGTCTGTAAGATCGTTGGCATTCCAAGGCCGACGATCACGTGGTTCAAGGGAGCTCGCGAGATCGTCAGTGGATCTCGGTACAACATATACTCGGAGGGCGATGTGCACACGCTGATCATTAACGACGTATTTGGAGAGGACGCGGACGAGTACGTCTGTCGCGCTGTGAACAAGTGCGGAGTCAAATCGACCAAGGGTGAACTTCTGATCAAGACGCTCCCGAAACTGAACGTACCGCCGAGGTTCAGAGATACCGCGTTCTTCGACAAAGGTGTCAACGTGGTGATTAAGATTCCGTTTACCGGCTACCCGAAACCGAAGATCACCTGGGTCAGAGAGGGAGAGGTGATCGAGTCCGGAGGACACTACACCGTAGACGTGAAGGAAAGGCACGCTGTACTCACGATCATAGACGGCAGTCGTATCGATTCTGGACCTTACCGAATCACCGCTGAGAACGACATGGGTCAAGACTCAGCGATCATCAAAATACAAATTAGCGACAGACCGGATCCACCGAGATTCCCGCAGGTGGACAACGTTGGTCACGACTCGTTGGCTCTAACGTGGAAGCCACCGGTCTGGGACGGTGGCAGCAACATCACTAACTATCTCGTAGAGAAGCGAGAGCATCCGATGACCAGCTGGATCAGAGTTGGCAATACCAGATTTTGCTCTATGGCGGTTACTGGCCTCAGTCCTGGACAACAGTACGACTTCCGTATTTGCGCTGAGAATATCTATGGAAGATCTGATCCGAGCGAAGTGACGCCGTTGATCACGACGAAGGGAACTATCAAGAGAGAGTACAAACAGAAGGAGTACAAGGTGGACGAGACTGGCAAGAAGATCCGTGGACGAAGCGACGAGAAGCCACGAGATTACGATCAATTTGTGTTTGACATTTATAGCAAACATGTTCCACAGCCGGTTGAGATCAAACACATCTCGGTGTACGATAGATATGATATTCTCGAGGAGATTGGAACTGGCGCGTTCGGTGTGGTGCATCGTTGTCGCGAAAAATCTACCGGGAACATATTCGCGGCCAAGTTTATCCCTGTGTCTCATGTGATGGAGAAGGAACTGATTAGGAAGGAGATTGATATAATGAATCAGCTGCATCATCCGAAGTTGATCAATCTCCACGACGCATTCGAAGACGATGACGAGATGGTGTTGATATTCGAGTTGTAAGTATATTTGGATAAATTCTTGAGAATGTGAGTTAGGATGTTGGAGCGTGGTAATCAATCTCGTTCCTTTCGTTCAGCTTGTCCGGTGGTGAACTCTTCGAGAGAATCACAGCGGAAGGCTACATCATGTCCGAGGCAGAAGTTATCAATTATATGAGACAGATTTGCGAAGCCGTGAAACATATGCATGAAAAGAACATCATACACTTAGGTGAGAAAAATCTGTCCGTATTTTTTTATTTTACTTTTTGTTTTGCAATTCTACTTATATGGATAAAATTTCAATTGGTGCCCGATTAAGTGAACTTATTGAATAAACGAGAAAAGTGAAAAATTAATTAAATTTTTAGATATCAAACCTGAGAATATCATGTGCCAGACACGCAAGAGCACCAATGTCAAATTGATTGACTTTGGCTTAGCTACGAAGCTCGATCCTAACGAGGTAGTCAAGATTAGCACTGGCACTGCTGAATTTGCTGCACCTGAAATCGTTGAACGCGAACCTGTCGGTTTCTACACGGACATGTGGGCTTGTGGTGTCTTAGCCTACGTTTTGTAAGCAATGCTTCGTTTACTTGAATGGAATACGAATATTCTGACCAGTATTACCAGAAAAATAAAAAAATGGTAGATTAGATACTTTATCGAACAAGAATAAGAAAGATATCTTTTCTATTCTTAGAATTAGTAAAGTCTATAAAAATTAAATTTTATCACATTTGTATTTCAAAAGAAATCTGACTGAAATCGATCTAACTAGAATTAATTTGCCTTTATTAACTTTTAGTTATGATACTATTATATACCATTTATTATGATACCATTAATAGATTAATTGAACTAAAAATAATTGTACAGATTAAGCGGCCTTTCGCCGTTTGCCGGAGACAATGACATCGAGACTTTGAAGAACGTTAAGGCCTGCGACTGGGACTTCGACGAAGAAGCGTTCCGCGATGTCTCCGAAGAAGGCAAAGATTTCATTAGGCGATTGCTCATCAAGAACAAAGAGTACGTTGTTACTTAAAATATATTCACAATGAACTACAACATTCGTATGATACATTTATAACATTCAGTAGGTATAATACTATGTCCAATAGGTGTACCCAAATAAGATTCAATATTTTTTAATTTAATAATGTACGTTTCATAAAAGATTAGTAGCCAAATTTTTTTAATAAATAATATTTTCAATATGCAATTCATATTAATAAAATAGATAGTATTTTCAATATGGAATTGCATATTAATAAAATATTCTTTGCAATGTAGGAAACGTATGACCGCCCATGAATGTCTCCTTCATCCGTGGTTGACCGGAGATCACAGCAACCGTACAACACCAATTGCAAGCAGTCGATACCTGAGCTTCAGAGACAGGCTACGAGCTAAATATGAGAACTGGAACAAATATGTTCTTCCGATTGGTCGACTAGCTGAATATTCTTCGCTGAGAAAGCTGTTGATCGACAAATACAAGATCTATGATTCTTGCTTCGGTAAGAGATACAATGTTCCTCTAAATTAGTACATTTGTTTGCAATTTTATGAACTTTTGATAAATGAAATACCTGATTAAATGAACGTTCGAGTTCACTTGAACCTAAGCTGCTTTTATACGAATGGAAAACCACAAGTACAAGGAAAAATCAGTGAACAGTACTTTACTTTTTAGTATTTTGTATATTTTATTTTTACTTATTAATTACTTATTATTACTTATTATATTTTTCTTTTTACTTATTAAGAATATATTTAATTTTTTATAAGAATATACGTATAATATATTATTATGTAGTTTTTACAATTTATAGATAAGTATACATATTTTTTAATATTTTTAAAGCTTAAGAAGTTATTCCCTCTTCAATTATTTTATTTCTAAATGAAAATAAAATTTTTCATTAACATCACCTTAAAATGATGTACAGATCGACGACAAGCGGCACCAAGATTCGTCATCAAACCTACAAGTGCATTCGCGTACGAAGGACAGAGCGTGAAGTTCACGTGCCGTGTAATCGCGATCGCCTCACCAACTCTCACGTGGTTCCACAATAATCAGGAACTCAGACAGTCCGTGAAATTCATGAAACGATATCATGGCGATGATTACACGTTCATCATTAACAGAGTGAAACTAGAGGACAGAGGAGAGTACGTGATCAGGGCAGAGAATCATTACGGCTACAGAGAGGAGGTTGTTTTCCTAAACGTACAACGTATGTATAAAATCTTAATATTTACAATTGGTTGATATCACTGTCTACTAAAAATTGTAATAATATTTATTACTTTTATATTTTCTCTTAACTAAATATTTATTTTTGACTTAATTTAATTAAATACTAATAGTTACTTTCAATCATTTATAAGGTGTATAAAACAGTTGCACACATCCATGTTTTAATCAGTTTTTTGTACACTGGATTTATTATTATGCAGTAGAATCTCAATTATACGAACTAATTATGTTCAGATATTCGAACGATTCATATTATAATTACACTTCATATTATAAAAATGACAATTTATTACGTACGATACGTAATGTGTTACATACATATTTTTTTAATTAATTAAACAATCCAAATTTATTTAATTAATAAAATTAATTAATTCAACTAGAGTATTTTATATCTGCGCTTTATATCATCTAATAGTAAGTAAAAAAATTGCGCTACTTTTGCATTTAACGATACTATTCTATTATTTACGAGTTTATGAATGATATTAATAGTAATCAATTAAATTAAACTAAATTATATTTTCAGCGTTACCGAAGCAGATTCCAAAATACAGACCAGAACTGCATCCAGTCCGAAGGAGAGAACCACTCGGCTACAACGTCTGGTTGGAGACCATCGAATCGGCACCAAGCTTCACCTTCCTCCTTCGACCGCGTGTCATCCAAGTCAGACAAAACTGCAAACTACTTTGCTGCCTTGCTGGCAATCCAGCGCCAACGGTGAAATGGTACAAAGACAAGGATGAATTGTCCAAGCTTCATTATTCGATGACGAACGCGGATGGTGTTGTCACGATGGAAATCATCGATTGCAAACCAGAGGACAGTGGCAAATATCGTTGCGTTGCAACGAACAAACACGGAAAGGATGAGACTAGTTGTGTTGTTATCGTTGAAGGTAATTTAATACGTACATCGTGCGATTAATTTCAGGTGATTTTCAGTTCACGCAGATGGTATCATCTTAAATTAAAGTGAAAGGTAAAACATGATGCAACACAATTGTATTCTATTTATACCACTGTACTATGATATCTTACAGAATATGATATTTAGACTGTGAATCTTTAGGTATTTTTGCATTTTTGTGCAAAAATGCAACTTGAATAGAAATGTGTTTCATTTGCTAATATAGTATTATAGTACATACTGAATATATTAAAGTACTTTATATCATAATACTATAGTATTGTAACATGTAATACACAATACATATAAATGCATAAAAATTTTCAATCTAATGACACGTATTGCATGTTATACATAGTTTTATGCATTTATTAATGGAGCATAAACTGAAAATCTTTCGTCGGTGACACATCAAACGTATTAAAAAAAAATGTTGTTTCTTTTTTACAGTTGATATAAAATATATATATTTCTATTACCTTATTATCGGTACTTATAGTAATATGAAATGTTTGTTTCCAGGCACTGGCGAAACAGAAGAGCAACAGAAATTAGCGCACGACCTCCTACATTCCGGAGGTACAATTTTTGGAATATAGCCCCTTCTTGCTTGCAATCCCGCTTAATCGTACATTAATTTGCAAAGCACAATCTCTCCCTGTAAAATTGCTTGAAACAAATTATACCTGTACAATTGCTTAAAACAAATTGATCAACAATGATCAACATTATTTCTTTAGAGAAAAAATGTTATATCGATGTCTTAGAAGGCAGAAGTATTTTCAAAAATTTTTTTGAAACAAACAATGCAACTAAATCAATTTATCACTATTGTTATATGTAATTAATATGTACATATTGAAGAGTGTAGCAAAGAATTTTAAATCTACCCTACCCTATCAACCTTATTTAAACCTAAATTTATAATTTCCTCCTTTCTACACATTTATTTCTCCTCAAAATCTATGTTGCCACAAAATCGACGTTTTTTCCGTTGATAGTAATTAACATAAAAACAAAAATAGGAACGTATATTTATCATGCTATTTATAGAATACCTCAAAAAGTAACAAAGCGGTGAAATATTACAAATATTTGCAATTTAAAAAGAAATCTTTAATTCGGTTTTTATTCGTCTGACTGGTCTTAATCGGACACATAATTTTTTTTATTTACCAAATTGAGAGACATTTTTGAAAAAAAAAACACGCAATTGAAATTTTGATGACATATAATTTGTAAATAACAACAAAATTTATTACCTTATTTTTACTTATCTATTTTTGGACTACATTGCAACTCTCCAGCATTTATGAAGCTACCATTAGTAATTTTGCTTAATTTTCCATGCAGATAACCTTGATACTGCTTTATTGGACTCGTGGACGTTTCATTTATTAACAATCAAAACACGATTCTATGAACCAATTTACTAGCTCACTTGTGTAACAGGTATTCATCCATTGACGAGTCCTCTTTGACTATCTAGTTGGTCTGTTGAACTTAACTAAAGAAAACAACTCTCCTACCAGACCTCTTTCTTTACGAGACTTCTGCTGATAATAAATATATATATATTAAATTAGTCTTTATTATCTTTTAATTTTAAAAGTATGTAGATACTTTTGATTGATACACAATACGTTTAATGACTGATGCTTTAGTTACGCCAAGACTGATAACATGTGCTATATAGTTTCCATTGCTTAAATTATTTCTAAAAAATTGGATTCTTACATATTACTATCCATAAGCATTTGAACATCTAATAGAATACAATTAAAAAATCAATATTTTTCTTATATATTTTCATAGTTCTATTGAAGAATGTTTATATCAAATACTTTACTGAACTTAAACTAAGACATAAATTTTTCAGCTGAGTTCCATGTTTATCTGTAATAAATAGTTTATACTTCCAACTTCAACAAAACTTCATGAAACTTATATGAATTTTTAAAACTCTTCAAACACTTTAAGTTACTTAAATCAAGCGTATTGACAGTTTTCGTAATTAATATTGACTATCGATATCTATCTAGATATATGTATGTAGTTATTTGAAATAGGATCAGAAGCCAAAATTAAATTCAAGAGATCATTCGAAGTACTTATTATTTGCTACAATTTGTAGGTGCCTAAATATTTATGGATAGCAGTGGCACATTGTCATTAATTTTACACATTTTTTCATAAGATTTGTTTTAGTAATCTTCCTAAAATATCTGTTCTTAAAAAAAAATATTAAAAAGTATCCATTTCTTCGATCTTTTACAATGTCTTCCTCTTTTAAAAATTTGCAATCTTCCGCGTTCGAGAAAATAATTTTATTATATTATTTATAATTGATGGTCAAGATTTTATATTAATCAATAATCATTTTTTAGATTTCTAATGGCTTTGATTCTTCACAAGTGTCGTAATATTTGTGAACAGAAGTATAGCTTTTACTAAATTGCCAACAGCCTTAATTTAATTTCGTCGATGATAATGAATTTAGATTATTTGTTACTGATTTCAAATCAAAAGTTGCGTTTTCTAGAAAAATATCTGAAAGTGAAATATTATTTTGTAGATCGAAAATTCATCGAGCAACCACTGAAACCAGCACCACCTCCGATCATAACGGTACATAAAGCCGGTGGATACAGTGGCTACAGTTCCACTACTACACAGGGTCACAATTATAGTAGTTCATATAAAGTAAGTAGAATAGAGGAGATTTATATTGAGGAGATAAATTTGATAAAAGCAAAGAAACAGGCTGGTAATTTTGAAATATCTCGTGTTATTTGCGCTTTAAATTTTCTTCTATCATTATACATATTAAATATACATTTCATTATATCTATTTTGAAATTAGTTTTTAGATATTAAATATATAATTTAATAATGTTAAATATTTATATGTTTAATATATATAAATATTAATTAAATATTTTATAATTATATTACACTTACGTTACATTACTTTATATTGTGTCGCATTAGGTCAAAATATCTCAACGTTGACTGAACGAAAATTAAATATTGGCAATTACTATTTGATACATGTAATTTGTCTAGGCTACAGATTCCAGCACAGAAAAGCGAAGTACTAAGAAATACGGACTCGACAGCACAGGCAGTCCATCTCGTTCTAGGAGTACAACAAAAGAATTAACTTGTAAGTTAAATGGTTTATTTTCTTTGGGGAAACTGTATGATCAAACAAACGATTTAATAATTGATTTTGTTTAACTATTATTACATAAAGATCCTCCGGATGAATCGATGAGAGCACCGCAATTCACGAAAAAATTGAATGATCTCACTATCAACGACGGTGAACAACTGGAACTTAACGCAAAAGTTGACGGTGATCCAGAACCACAAATTACTTGGTCCAAGAATGGCAAGGCAAGTAGATAGTAGATATAATTTTGATATTGCTATTTTGCTTCTATTGCCAGAAAAAGATTTTTAATATTTTGAAGAATGTTCACCAATAACAATTTTTATCATAATCTGTATAAACTCGAAGTATTTCTGACGCTACCAAAATCAGCTTAAAATGTTTAAAAATAAGTCATGAAATATATACATATTTTTACATATGTTGCGCGAGTAATTACAAAGCGAGAAGTTCAGACTTTTTCGAATGATGTTACTGTAGCTTTTAACTTTACTTTTAAATTTTTTGTTGAAGAAAAATATTACAAAATGACGAATTATTTTGTATGTCTTCTGTTCTACTTGTTCTATTAATTGAAATTAATTTTTTTGAATCACTGAAAAGTTTATTATATAAAATAAATTGAATAAAATGCAGTACCTGGTCTATTAATCTTTAAAAAATCGAGATATAGTATAAAATTAATAAAATTTCTGTATTAGACGTTGAGTTCCTCGGGAATTATGAGCTTGAAGTATAAAGGCGGAGTCGCAACTCTCGTTATCAACGAGGTGTTCCCTGAAGACGAGGGCGAGTACGTTTGTCAAGCAAGCAATAGCATCGGTACCGTAACTACTTCCTGCAAATTAACTGTGAAACGTAAGTGCATAAAGTGCAAATTTTTATGCGAATCTGATCTTTATGAGCACAACTACAAAAATATAAACGACTTGAATATTATATACGAATAAATATATTAATTTCAGCCATGACAGGCGCAGCCGCGAAGGAAAGGACCGACGACAAGCCTCCAAAGATTGTAGATCATGTGACTAGTATGTTCGTAAAGGATGGTGAAGCGGTAACCCTGAGTTGTCGAATAATCGGTGCGAAGAAGTTCGACGTGGTCTGGCTTCACAACAACAAGGAAATCAAACCTAGCAAGGACTTCCAATATAGCAGCGAGGCTAATATCTATAAATTGAACATTGCCGAAATCTTCCCTGAAGACTCTGGCACTTATACCTGCGAGGCATTCAATGACGCAGGAGAGAGCTTCTCATCGTGCACATTAAACGTACTTGGTAAGTTAATAATTGTTCCTTTAGCTTCTGAAAGATAGAAGAAATTTAGAAAAATAACGACAGTTTATTTAGAACAATCCATGACGATTTTACGATTTAATTTTGCTTTCAGTTCCAAATGAGGAACCGAAGAGTCCAGTTTTCACGACATTCCCACAATCCGCAACGGTAAGCGAAGGCGAATCGGTTACATTCGTATGCAAGACTGAAACCGCGCCTCTGAAAGGTAACTAAAAGGGTTTATTTTAACCGATTGAGGACCAACATCGCTTTACTTTAATGCAGCGCTAATTGCGAGAATACAAAGCTTAGTTCTAGCGAATTTTATTAAATTAATTAATTGTACATACTTGATGTTACAGTAACGTGGTTGAAAGACGGAAAAACGCTCCCAGAATCTAGCAGCAGATACCTCTTCAGCTCAGACGGTGACAAATCATTCGAGTTGCGTATCAAAGCATGTACAGCTAGCGACGTGGGTCAGTATGTTGCTCGCGCGATCGGCAAGAAGGGTGAGACCAACGCTGCTTTCGCCCTGAACGTTACCAACGAATAGTGAAATCATTGATTTCACGCGTATCAAAACGCAACACGACAAGGTTTGATGATGCTGCGCATTCAGTTTTCATTCACCCCTCTACCCCATTCAAACTTTTCGCCTTTTAAGATTGCGTATCGATTCACGAAATATCTATCTGTTCTAATGCATGCTCTTTTTCAGTCTCTAGAACATTATCGGGAGGACAACGATACAAGAAGAAAACTATGTAAAAATGAACTATATAAATGTGCAACTTGAAAATAATCGCGGTCATAGGCGACGTAATGCTCGTGTATAAAAGAGAAATTGGAAAACTACTGTATTTATGCTATTCTATATGTAAATTATCATGGAAGGCTATATTTACTTTTTGTGTGCTTGTCATATCGCAAAAGAAAAAAAAAAAAAACAAAACATGTCACTATATGATAAAAGAAGAATCCAAAGCGTTAAGCAATACGGATAGCACGCGCAATCTATACGCTAATACGAGCTTTGCTGTATACACGAATTAGCATATTTTAAGTACACAATCGTACACAAACGGCAGTGTAAGTTATAAACGGAAAACTTTCATTATAGTCAGATTCGACAGGATAGCCAGCATCCTCGTACGTTTAAACAACAATAACTTATCCTGTTAAATGACTGTACGGAAGAATTTAATACTGCCCGAAATGTACATCCTTATTCCATGTAATCGTACGCACTGTCGTGTTATACATGTTTGAAGACTGCTTCCGTTACAAAATTTCAGATAAATAAAAAAGATGATTCAAATATAAAAGTTGCGAAACTTTTTATTTTCGTTCGATTATTTCCATTACGATTTCATAAAATTTTACATCAAGTACAAAATATTTTAATACCTTTAAGTGTTACAAACCGCTTCCAATTTTCGTTCACTTCTACTCTTCTCTCTCCATAATTTTATATTTTTCAGTGTATTCGCTACCGTTTAATTCCGTTTGAATTGAATTTGATCTTTCTTTGATACTCGTATATGTACGTAATATTAACGTAATATTAACGTAATACTAACGTAATATTAGCGTAATATTAACGTAATATTAACGTAATATTAACGTAATACTAACGTAATATTAGCGTAATATTAACGTAATATTAACGTAATATTAACGTAATACTAACGTAATATTAGCGTAATATTAACGTAATATTAACGTAATATTAACGTAATACTAACGTAATATTAGCGTAATATTAACGTAATATTAACGTAATATTAACGTAATATTAGCGGTTTGTGGAAAATTCTGTAGTAGTTACGTAAATTTCAATATCTAATACTTAAGGGTTGATCCAATACTTAAGAGTCAATTATACGGTATTGTATAAAGTATTGGGATCTATAATATTAGAAGAATTGAATCGTGGAAAAGTAGCATTTTTGAAATCGTCATTTATATCAGCATGTACATGGAAATATAGATCACTTCCTTTTTTTTTTCGAGTATCGGGTAATATCAGTACATAGATATTGAATTTAAACTTATCATCCGCTTTTATAGAATTTATAAATATTTTATCACGCTTTAGAATAGGCTGTATCATGCAATTAGGTTTTTCACAAACAGATCCGTCTTTTACAATATCAGTTCTTACAACAGTCGCCTTTCCATCCAAATAAATACCTTACAAAGATTATTAAAAATCATTATGAAGGCACATAAGTATCATCGATATCTTTGTATTCAATATTTACCAGAAAAAAGTAATGTTGTATCATGCGTAATAAACGCATCTACTCTTCCTATATCATTAGAACCGGGTATCGCTATAGTGTTCCAAATATTTTCTTCGGGATAATAAATATAAAAAGATGACTTCAGTACGAACAATTTTCCACATTTAACACAATAAGGTGGAACACTGGTAAAACATTCAGGAATATGCGAACCAGACGTCCAATTACCTAAAATCGTTTGTGCATTATAACCATTATAACTTGATATTTTGTCCATTTTATAAAGTAAATTTTTAACCTGTATGAATATTAAGAACATCGACTGAAGACAATTTTAATCTATGTTTTCCGACACCACCAACTAAAACCAATTTATTCCTTAAAAATACGGCAATCATATGTCTCCTTGGAACTGGCAAGTGTGCTTCGTAATACCACTTTTTAGATAGAAGGCAATACCGTGAAATAATTTTATTAAATTGTGAACCTTCTAAACCTACGGATCCTCCAATTGTATATACACTGAAACCTAAATCAATAATTTGTTTCTAATAATTTGTTTTTTTAACAAAATGTACAATTTGACAAAACATACCTCTAGTAGCAACTTGTGTTCCAAATAACCACATGTTTGGGTACTCAAGACATTTTAATTTTACACATTCATTTAAAACATTACCATCCCAAATATACAAATATGCATTTCTTAAGGCATAATCTTCTTTGCGACCAGTTTGGTTACTGTCATGAATAACTGTCCAAGTCTTTATAAACGTCAGTTGTCTTTCTCCTTTGACATCAATAAGATTCGTCTACACTTAAAGTATTTTCAATGTACTACAAAAGTTGCGTGTGAATAAACAGGATAAAAAAAAAAGTCATTTACCTTATGATGTTTCATCCATTGATCTTTTATATGTTGCAAATAATATTCTGAAGAGTACCTTAAATTAACATTGTTTAATAACTTAACTATATTATCTGCGTTCAATTTGATAAGTGAAGATAATGGAAGTTCTTCAAAACGGTCTAAACAAAGAGATATACAAACATCTTGTAATACTTTTACACTTAATTCCTGTGCTAATAACCATATGTCAATTACTTTCTGTGGATCCAACCAATATAAAACTATAATTTCTGTAATGTCACTTGTTAATTCATCGACCATAAACAATACGCTCAACTGTAGCAATGTTAATAATCCTTTAAAATTCTTTTGCAGAAATTTGGTCAAAGAAACTTTTATGGGCTGATGTAAAACACACATGTGATTCTTATCATGTACCCATTGAACAAAAGTCTAGAAGAACAAAAATTATATAGTTACATTAATAACATGCAAATACTTTCAATCACATTGATATAAATCACAGAAATAACCTGTAAAGTGCATAAAGGAATGTCATAATTAACAACATGTTCCTCGCTGTTGGAATCACTAAAATTGTGCGAGAAAAGAGACGCAAAATATTGGCTTTTGCTCGCAAGTTTTCTTCTGTTCACTTTTATACGGGTATTATTAAGTACCAAAGTCAAATATTTCCTCATGGTGTGTTCGGTGTTATCGAATATAATCACTTGTTTAAAACAACCTCATGAAATTTCGTTCCGTTTATTTTGTTACTGGCAGATCGTTAAAAACTGTCGTACGAAACAATACAGGTAACGTCAAAAGGTTAGAAAACACAGATCCTTTGGCAAGAAGTTCCTTACTTAACTGCGAGTCAAATGAGCGTGTACATGCTTTAATTTAAGACTTGTGTTTCGTTTTAATTTGAATAGATTCTATTCGGATTTCGGTTCACAAGCAATAACACACAAATTGAAATAATACGTTGATGTTTATGTCTCATATTCGTCCTTACAGCCTGGAACATATTCGTTGACTTGTACGTCTCCTTAGTTTTAAATGCTCCGAAAAACATTGTTTACTAATAAACATACGGTAAGATATATTTATGTCTTACCAAACAAAATCTTAACGTGTGTACAACACAGTATTTTGAAATAATTTTACTTGTAACGCGATTTTTTTTTCATTAGGTGGACTCGAAAGAATGTATAAAATAAATAAATATCATAAAATAATATATACATGTATTGTACCGTATGTCATACAATAATGATAAAATCGTTTGCACAAAATCATTAAGTTAAATGTTTAAATTTTTTTCTTTTGTTTATTTTTTAAAATTCTTAATTATAGTGCACGGTCATACTTGATTTCAATTTCAATTGGTGGTAACGCAATACCTACTAAATTAGTGATATTTGTAGTTATACAAAGAGATAATGCAAGGACTGATTACATTGTTCTTAAATTGTATGATGTAAAAATACACCGATGCTGGATCTATCTCAGATTTCATCCGTGGCCAAATATATTTCGAGTTGTTGAATCGCAGTGTAGACAACTGTTTTACGTTTTGCAGAACATAGATGCTTCGCGTCGTTAGGATGTAAAAAATATAGGCTATTGAATTTATGATTAATTCAAATGGAAAAGTTTCGTAAACAATCTGAAATGTTGTACAATTAATATTAACCTATATTGATATTTACGCATTTTACATATCTTCAACGTATCTTTGTAGTCTCGAGACACAATGGATCAAGAACTGATAGAAAAATTTATGGAAGTGACGGGTAAATCATCATATTAATATTATATCAAGTGTATTATATTAATATTATATCAAAATTTACGAAACACCTTTCTGTTTTGTACGAAAGTTCATTTCTTGAAGAATTGATGAACAAAGCACGTTGGATTAATTTATGTTCAAATAAATTAACAAGTTATTTTGTGTTAATTGTCAGGAGAAAATGAAGCAACAGCCCGCCAATACTTGTCATTAGCTGATGGAAATGTGGAAACCGCAATAAGTTTAATGTTTGATGGTAGTCAAGCACCTGAACCGTTATGTACACCTGAACCAGAACCTGAAGTCAGACCACCGATTCTGCCTGTACAAGAAGTATTAGTACCATCGGGTCCAATATGTTCTCTTCCAAGATTATCAACTAATGTATTTGATAGATTCAGAGATTTTGCAGTAGAAACTCGTGAATATCATCTCATTTAATAGCACATAATACTTCACATAATATGATTACATAGTATAATCATTTTATACTTAATGCAGAACGACAGGAAGAAGAAATGACTCGGAAGGTAGCAGGAGTTAAACAAATGTCTTATTGCAAATCAAAGAGATTGGAGGATTTATTTCGTCCGCCATGCGGTATTCTCTTCTTAGGTTCTTTTATGGAAGCTCGTGAGCATGCTAAATCACTGAACCGTTGGTTGCTTGTAAATATTCAAAATCCTCAAGAATTTTCCTGTCAAATCCTTAATAGAGATGTATGGCCCAACCAGCAGATCCAAGAAATTATAAAGGATCACTTTGTTTTGTGGCAAGTAAGTTATTATAAAACATTATAGTATTCGACTGTTATCAGAAGAAAAAGATTTATTTACTGCAAATCTGAATAGGTTTTGTCAAATACAAGTGATGGAAGTCGTTACGTCCATCTATATGATGTATATGAATATCCTTATCTTGCTGTAATAGATCCTAGAACAGGAGAATGTGTGAAAACTTACACTCATATTACAGTAGATATTTTAATGTCTGCATTAAATGATATGTTAAGCTCTCATCCATCACCAGAATGTATTTCAAGTGATTCAATGCATTCTAAAAAATGGAATAACTGTACTGCCACAGCAACAAAAGAAAGTTCTGCATCTAATTCATCAGTATGTGTAGGAAAAGAATTTTTGTGTTTAATAAATTCATTCATTAAATTTAATTAACTTTAATGGTTTATTATTTTGATATTCATTTATTTCTAGGATTGTACTAGTAGTACTAAGACGTTTAAGCACACTATTGGTAATTTAAATGACTCAGGTAAGCAGCATACTATTACAAATATTTTTCATGTATAAAATTTAAGATATATTTTTTGTTAATGTGATTATTTTATAGGTAATATAAATATTAAGAATGATATAACAACTATTCAAAGTTCAAGTAAAAGTATGTCAACAGACACATTTCAAAATATAACTAAAAAAAGAAAAATGAATGAATCAAATGAATTGAATGAAAAAAGACAAGAAATAAGTTCAAAGGTACATATATTGACGTTAACTTACTGCATAATTCTAAATAATATATATGTATTATTTTAGGGCGAACTGAAATCTGTTTTGGACAAGAATAAAACTGGTAAAAAATTCTCGCTTTTTAATGTTGTATGTCTTCCTGTCATAAATTATTTCTTAAGTTAATAAAAATATGTATATTGTTTATGTAGATAGTGCATCTGCTATAAGACTCTGTTTAAGACTGCCAAATGGTAAGAAAGAAACAATATCAATGTCTGCCACAGATACTGTAGAAGTAAGTACAACGATCTTGTTAATAATGTACTGAATAACGGTAAATAAAAATACATATTAATTAATTTTCTTAGAATTTCATAAATACAATGGAGAGTATGGGTTACACATCGACCGATCACACTTATTTAGTGCCATTTCCAAAAACAAATATTGGAGCACTTTCTCCACAAATACATTTATCGGATACAATTTTATTTCCAGCAAATACAGTATTTATAACAAAAATATAGTGATTTGTTAGGTAAGTATATCTGTACGTATTAATAAATGACGCGATGTTTAAATATGTTGTGTTCTATTACAGATAAAATATAACGCGAGCATTTCGTTTTAACTAATGCATTGTGGAATATATCATAAGTTCAACAAATATTACGTATCTTAAAACATATAGAAATATATCATCAAATATATATTCAATTATCATTTATGTATCATATTTACCAACATTCAATACTATCGTTATAATAGTTGCAGTTCGGTTATATATCTCAAATCAAATGTATAGTAAAATGAACTATAACAATTTAACTGTTTTTTATACAAATAAAAATCAAATTATGATCTTCATTTTAAATGGTAGAAATTATAATGTAATAATATAAATTTTGAAAAATTTTAATATGTTTTTTTCTTTTTACGTGAGACAATATTTCAGTTATGCTTTCTATACTGTTGTAGTACATATACATTTATTTTCTAATATTTCTTTGCATATTCCGTATCAAAAATTTTCTAAACTTCTCATCAATAATCTTTCGTTATTAAAAAGAAGTTTATTTTGGCATAAATAAATAAGTTTTATTTATATTTTTAAATAAAAAATTATGCTTTGGCATTAAATTCTAAAATTAAATTGTATAAATAATATAAATTATTTATTTACATTACTCCATATGAAATTATACATATGATTAATACAATTTATGTTAAATGTATGTTTAAAATGACTCACCAGTAAATATCATATTTTTAAGATAACGATATTTAGAATAATTTATAGTTTATTTGCGATTTATATTCGTTTGTCAAAATACTATATTTAAAAATTAAGTACTATATTTAAATACAATTATTACTTTATAATTATAAATAATGAATACTATAATTAAAATAATTCTTATTTAAGTAAATTAATGCTGTAATTTGATTCTTTACAAATTTATGAAATTTTTAAAATATGTAATATTCTCACCTAGTTATCCAGACATATTTTTCTGTGACTTTAGATAGCATCCAAATATTATTGACACACATTCACTGCCAAACGTTGTTACAATTTGTTGTATGAAGCAGATTATTAATGAAGCGATTGAACATACGTCGTTTGCGTACGTAAGGTTATACCACTTGCATGTTCTGCATAATGAAATAAGAAATAATAATGGAAAATTAAATGTAACAATAAATGATGTGTTAATACAAACTAAAATCATGAAATCTCAAAGAACAATTGATGTCATATAAAAATATTAATTTCATTTGTTTTCTTTCTTCATATATTGAATATCAATGACATTTCGTTTCTATTAAGACTTTCAGTTATCATAATATTCAAAAATAAAAATATATTTAATACAGACATCATGTACATAAGTATATTAAAACATAATATAAAGAAAATATGTAGTTTTAACAATTGTTTAAGGTTATTATACAGAATAAATAATGATTCAGCTTCGTATTACAAGATCACAGAGGATAATTACTGATATTAATTATTTTAGAATGTTAACATATAAACTTATAAACATAATGTAAGTTAATTAATAAAGAAAGATGCATGTAGCAGAAGCCACAATATTTTTATATAACTATAATATAACTATAATATTGCATTTTGTATTATATATCAACATCAGAATATATACAAGAAAATTTTTCTATTCTTGACAGCAATAAAGCTAAGAATAACAACGAATATCTTAATGTGAAATATATATTAGGAGATATATATATATATATATATATATATATATATATATATATATATATATATATATATATATATTGCTAATCATGAAAATACATACAAAAGTATATCTCTGTTTAACAATTAAATACCAATTTATGTAAAGATTTCTTCTTTCATACCAAAATAATTTAAGACAACTCCCATTGGTGTACGCTTGAATCCCATACCTTCTATCTTGTTAGCAAGTTTATTCTTCACATTTCTTAATCTTAAAGATGCATGTATAAAAGTCACTAAAAATATAAAAATTAAGTAGTTACATTAATACAGATTAATGGTTTGGTTTTATATTCTTATAATTGACTTCAAAATTCTATAAAAAAAAATAGATATTATATATTTCTTAGATATTATATGGAAAAGAAACTTACCACAAATTGACAGCAAAATCCCAAATAATACAAAAAGTACCGAATTTATAGTATAAATAGCATAAGATGCACAAACAATAGTAAGAATTACTCCAACTTGGGGATAAGTTCTTTTAAATTTGAGTAATGATTCTCTTTCATTAAACAAATAAATACATTCACCCCATACAGCTATAACTGTTGATATACCGACAATCATTTTCATTGGATTTACTGATCTAAATGATAATCATTTATGAAATCAAACTTTATAATCTTCGTTATATAAAATACTTTGAATACCAATGTTATACTTACGCTACAACCAATAAAATAGCAATGCACATATAAAGATAATTAGTTTGATAATATACAAGATTGTTCACTACTCTGTTGCCCCATTTTTCGAAATCTCTAAAATTAGGCAATTGAAAACGTGAAGATTCCAAAAGAAAATCGTACAAACTACGAAGTGGTGGAAGCTCCCACCCATCGCCTATCGATATTGTTTTATCCATTATAACGACGTCAAATACAATTTTGTATTGAATAAAACAGTTTAGTTTTTACGATTGCACATTGACCGATCTTCACACGACAAAACCCTTTGATATTTTTGGACGATGACGACCGAAACAGACGTCATGCAATTTATGAAATCGAAGTATCCCTGTTCGAAAATAATTGACTAAATTAATGACGACTTTACATGCAATTTTCACTTCTCGTACAAAAGATGAAATTTTAATTATTACTATACTTTAGCGAAGAAGACAAATTGCTGCGAATCCAATTTAAAGATAAATTTCTTATCTTCTGTAGAGTGGTAAACGATGAACAATATATACTCATGCCATTCTTTAATAGTCAATGCTTAAACGTAACGTCATTCTTTATCTCGAATCTCGAGGAAGTTGGAGCGCGTGTTTCAAAATACTTCCATTGATCTATAAATTAGATAATAGTAAAATTTTGTGTAATTGAATCAGTATACATATACATACATATATACATAAAAGTCAATTAAAATTTAATATGATTATTCGATTTTGTGCGTATAATAACATTTTTAAGTTTTCTGTCTCAGATACGTAATTTTATTTTATTCAATACTTGAATGAATATTTTTGAAGAAATTAACATTTATTATTCAATTTAAATTAACATCTACGATTTCGAGGTTCTAGGATCCCTTTACCATTTTCGTATCACGTCCTGTCATATCGATTCAGACAGGTTTTGCACTGCAGCACTATTAGTGATGAGAATTAAAATCAAAAAATACGGACAGTGTCACCGACGAGATATATGAATAGATCTTACGAGGTTTCGTGGCCGGGGATCTGAACAATTTCCATTAATCACTGTTTTAAATCATTATATTATATGAATTTTTTTCACGAAATTATAGTATTGACAATTTTTTATTTAGTATATGAATATTTTAGTTCTTTTTTTAAGAATTTTTCATGAATTTTGTGTATTTGATTTAGACCAGAATTTTTTATTTTTTATTCCAAATTAACATTTTATGCAAATTGCGTGCTCATTGGATTCAAATTAGTTACAGATTACAGCGCTATTGCGGTGAAAAACAGAATACACTTCCTACGATTCTCGAACGTAATCGATATTTCTCACGATCGATGGGAAGCTAAGCGGGAAGAATGGCGGAAAGTACACCTCGTCTGTAAAGAAGAAAGTATCGTCGAGAAAAATTATCCAAAATCAAGTGTTATCCAGAAATTCTCAGGTAAAAATTTAAATCAATAGCTGATAGATTTCCGTTTGTGTTGTGAATTTTTAAGATAAAACGTGCATTTTTGGTTTCAACTCAAGGTAAGATTTAACCAAATAATTATTACATATAATTTTCAACAATTAAAGAAATAATAGCATATAAATATTTAAATAGAACTAAATACTGTGCTAAAAGTTATTTATAATATAATTTTGTACCAAAATTTAATTTCAGTTCTACTCAGTAAATATTGTAACCTTGTAATGGACTAACTACATTGTTATATATATGTATATATTTTATTATATGCTTTTATACATACACTTCTATTATAACATTTTCTACTTATTTGTTGATTCTTTAGCTTCATACTGCGTAATAATAATTCTTAACAATTCTAATATTAAATTCAACAATAGTTTATTAAGAATGTACGTATTTAATGGTTAAAATAATAATTTTATAATAACATAATAGAAGTTTTACTTGTAAATAATAATAAATTTATACTAATAAATATAATCTAATTATATTTATACTAGTAGATACTAGTATAAATATAATTTTAGATACTAATCTTGTGTTTTAGAATCTGGAGATACAATTAAACATTTTGCTTAGTATAATCACAGACGAGCTTAAAAGTTAAAAAGATAGGATAATTCAGAACCAAGATTTGCCAGGGATCACATGTATATTTTTATCGTAAAAGTTGTTAATTATATTAAGTTTCTGATACAAAATTACGATCGAGGGTAATAAAAAGAATTTCCAACTTAAGAACACATCAGACAATAAGTAGATCTTAAAATTTAATATTTCCATTTATTCTTTGTATAATTAAATATTAATAACACGCGATAACTTTTGAACCCTATTAAGCAGTAAATCTCCTTGTTTGACCATAGCTTGATATTGCCAATTTTTACTATCTGGTCTATTAGTTTCAACTACTCCACCAACACGATCAACTTTACAATGCAATCTTCCTGCAGCAATAAAACGCGACAATTCTCTGCAAAGAATAGTTAAAATAGTAATTGAATATACAGTACTAACAAAAAAAGATATTGCTATCAAACTTACTGATCGATGTATTCTACAGTAACACCAAATGCTTCGGCCATGTATTGAAGTGTTAGAGATCTATAAGATTCTAAAAGTTGCGTGTACGCGAGAATGCGCATCTCTCTAACATAATATCGATAATGTGGAAAAATCAAATAATCTCTGCGCAATAAACCTTCAACGTGTGCTGAAACCATATTTATATAATGACAAGATATTTATATAAACCATTATATATATAATGACAAGAAATATATAATGTATTACTTTAGTTTTAGTATTACAATGAATGTTTTTTGTACCTAAATTTTTAAAGAAATCAGCATACTGGCAATTGTATAGAGAAAATAAGTAATCTTTGACATCTGGATTACTGTGAAGTACTTCCAAAATTTCTGAACCTTTGATAATCTTATCTCTGAGTTCATTTCTAGGTAAACTTATCATGCTTAAATACACAGTGTATCTTACAAATGTATTATAATCCATAAGTTCATAGCTAGTAAATGTGCTGATTGTATCTAGAAAGAAAGTCGCAGCTTCTTTAAAATCGCGTACTGCTATGCAGTATGTTCCTTGATATACTTTCAAACGATTTCGTCTGTCCCAATCACCACCCTCCTCTATCAAACTGAAACAAAATAGTAATATTTATATTGCATATTTATGTTGCATCCAAGTATCTTCTTTTCACATACCTTTTAGCTTTTTCTATATTTCTAGTAACATGATCATGATCTAGATAAAATAATCCAATCCTAATATTATGAAACACAATATCTAATCTGTGTCCTAATGATACAGTTTTATCATAAGTTTTTTTGAATGCAGAAATTGCACCTTCCTTATCACCTATTCTACATAAATGTTCTGATTTTTTAAGATTGGCTTCTCTGACTTCCATTTCACCTAAGTTCTTCTCGGCATCCTCAATTGCATCATCTAATTTTTTTAACTGTTCCATATTCTTTGCTTTCATAGCAGCTAAAAGGGCCTCATCGACAGACCAACTTAGGTCTTTACAAACTTCCTCATAGAATGGAGCCATATCTAAAAAGAAGTTTATTGTACATCTATTGAAATACTCTGTTTCTTTATTTTTAATGTATAATTTTTATTATATTATATCATACATATTATACATAAATGTATAATTACATTATACATTTTTTCAAGCTTGCTACTGAGCAACAACGAAAAAGAATATCCATAAATAAAAAGTCAATATTTTACAAAAAAGGAACAAAATCGTTGACAGTAAGGTTATGTCAAGTGTCATGATAATTTTCTTAGTTTTATCTTGTATAAAGTATCAATTTCAATTCTGATGTCGAATATTTAATTCATTATAAACAAAATTTCCTGTTGCATAGGTAAATCGAAATTATAAATTTAAGAAAGAAAAGTGCTATCTCACTTTCTGCTTTAATGGCATCTAGTAGTTTGTTCTTTAAAAATGGATCATCCTTATGTTCTGGTAGACTCAACAAGAATTTAGTTTGTGCCAACTCCAAGTTGGGATTCTTCTCTAAACCCTCTTCTTCTAAATTTTCCAACGGCATTATAAATTGAAATTATAATTACAACACTGGTGAACACAATTATTCGATACACTTTGTGTTTCGTGAAGCACGAGCTAAATAATATCTAGACGAAACGTGGAAATGTTACACGTGCATATTTCTGCAACCACTCGGTAGGTGGCGGGATGATTTCTTTTGCTTTGATTATTTCTCGCCTATGATACACCTATTTTATGATTTTGTCACATTTCTAAATAAATCTAGTAATTTTATTTTTAAAGTACGGCGAAAATTTCAATTGAACAAAAGATTCGTATATTTTCTATCAAATCTCATTTAGGCTTTCAAGGTATACAAACTCTTGAAAATAATAAACACAGAACGATTTTTCTTTTAACGAATCAATTTATTTTTTGACACAAACTGCCAATGACTCAGATAAATTGAGTCCAAAAGAGAAAAATGTTTTCACAGGATTCGTTATATTTAAAATTTACAAGAAGGATTGCATAATGCGGCTTCATTCATTCATATATCACACAATTCAACACATACTGGCGACTTCGGTATTTCTTTCTCTCCAGTGGTGGTTTTGCACGACACTGATCATTCTTCCGATACATATCGTTACAATTACGTTTGGACAGTAACAACGAAACTGATTGAAATATATGACTGTTAAAGATTTCCTCTCGCTAGAAGGATCTGAAATCATCATAAATTACATTCTGTACGTAAAGCCGGTCAAAGCAATCGAAACAGAGTCGAGAGAACACGAAATAACAATTTTACACGTTTGCCTAGAAAGCTTTATGACGGTAGCAAACACGCGGCTTTTATATCACGAATATTTTATTTCCAAGTTTCATATCTCAGTAAAAATTGCAGACTTGCGAGACCTTGGCGATCGGAGCATTACGTTTCAATGATTAGAAACCAAATGGAACAAATTTTCGAAATCTGCATTTCTTCCTTTAATTGCGGTTAAATTCTGAACTGATATAGATACTCCCAGATATTTCTCTCTGTACAAGAACTGGAATCACTCTTTAAGTTTTACATGTATCTATGCATGCATGTGTTTACATGCATGTAAGCGGTAATACATACACATTCGTACAGCCAATAGGGGATCGGTGTTGCAAATTTGACAATAAAGTCCGTAAATCGTAACGTTCGATATCGATAATTGAATACATACGACGTTCTATTTCTTCGAAAGTGAGTATGCTGAATGGCGAAGAAGAAGAAGAAGAAGAAGAAGAAGAAGAAGAAGAAGAAGAAGTAGACATGTATTCTAAAGAGTATTCCTCGTTTTGAAGAAAAAACGTGTCGTTTATTCGTAACACAGAGACGATCGCACATTCGATCGAAGAATCAACAATCGTGAAACGCATCGTGTGCACCGTCGGTGAAAAATAATAAATCCCGGTTGGGTAACCGATGCACCCTTCAAGTATAGTTTAATTTACGACTTCTCCGTGGTGAACTTGGATAAACGCAACACACATACATTTAGAATTATGGACTCAGCTATGCTACACGTTCGTGATCGTTAAGCGTACGCCGATTTGTTCCTTCGAACGAATATCAGAAGCAGTCCGAATTGTCGTGTGCCCGCCGAGTGAACGAAAGAACGAACAAACGAGCAACCAGAGCAAGGATGTTACGAATTTGTGTAAGTCGAAGCGAGAAAAAACAGCGAGCGTATTTTTAATCCTAAATGAGCGCCTTTCATTTTTGCAGTGCATTCGCCATTGCTCAAACTGTTCAAACATGCGTGGCGTAAGATTATTCGCTACTTTGTCCGATCGAACATTTCTCCGTGCGAAACGATCCTACACACGAAAACACGACCGATTTGAATTTCTGACCATGCTATTTTATCATTACCAACGATCATTGAAGAAAATCTTTCGTTTGATCAAAAGGAGCTTGAACTCGCAAGTGAAATTGAGAAAAAGAAAAAAGAAAAAAAAAGAATAGAACATTCATGTCGAATTGATTTTACTGTTGCTCATCGATCGAACGAACGATCGAATCTTTCTTTTTCTTCACTTCTTGTCCTTTCTGGGCTTTCGACTCTTTCTTTCCTCATTCATTCCTTTTCTTCCGTTTTGCTTGAAAATTATATGTAAGTACCACACGTTTCTTTCTTTTTTTTTTTTTTTTTCTTTGCACGTGTAGGGGACTCGAGTGAAATGATTTTCAACTTTGATTTTTCGTGTCATCCCGATCCAATGATCAAAAGAAGAAAAAAAAAGGACGAAACGGATGCGAAAGAGAAAAAGAAAGAAAAGAAAAAAAAAGAAAGATAAGCGCAAAAGATAAAGGAAGAGGTACGAAGAAACGGCCTTATGTAGTCCCAATGAAGAATTACCGCGAGAATCAATTTGAAAGCGGGAAATCGTCGATCTAACAAGTGGCCTAAAAGAAAGGAAGAAAACGGCGAGATACAGAGAAAGAGAGGGGAAACGAAATAAAAATTGCAGAGAACGATTGGAGTCGCCCCTCTTTCTCGCGTTGTACGAACAGCTATAAATACTCGGCAAGTACATTGTTGGTCAATATAGAACACATCTCGATAATCCGAGCGATCGATACGATGCTGATAATGAGAATCATGACAGAGAAGTTGTGGTTAAGGTGAAAGCGAGCGAGCGAGCGGTCGATTACTGTTTTCGGCCACGAATCGACGGATCGGTCGATCGATCGATCGATCGGTCGGTTGGACATTCACACCAGTTAAGTTTAAATGTTAGAATAATAGAGGGTTCCAAGCGATTAAAAAATATGTCGGAGGCCGGTTTTGGCCCAAGCTCTCTTACTCGCTTACGCTCGAAAATTTCTTTTTTTTCTTTTCCTCTCTTTTTTTCTCTCGATCTTCTTTCTTTTTTCTCGTTTTATTATTATTAATTATTATTGTTATTAATTATTAATTATCATTATTATTTTGTTGTTGTTGTTGTTGTTGTTGTTGTTATCATAGTTATTATTAATAATAATATTATTATTATTTCGATACGATCAACAGCGAAACCACTTAAATCTGTATAATATATTTATACTTAATACTTAATTCTTAGCGATCAATTTACAATCGATTGATTCGATTAATCGAAAGGTATCGATTAATTTGTAGCGATGGTTCGTTCCGTTCGGCACGGTATAACGTTCATTTCCGTTTCCCTGCTTCCTCCTGTTTCTTTCTTTCTTTTTTTTTTTTTCTCTTTTTTTTTTCCTTTCTTTCCTCCTTCGTTTCGTTTCATTATCGACGAACGATTAACACCGACGACACTTATACTAGAACCGTCCCCTTTGAATCGGAATGGATTCTGAAAAACATCTACCATAGATTAATTGTCAATCGTACGCGTTTTGTGTCCTTGAGGCCGATAGAACAAAAGAAACATTCATTATATAGACATCAGTTATTATATCAACGATTTTCTCATCTATACCCTGTGCATCATTTTAAATGTTTTCAACACATCCTATGTGATTACTCGATAAATGTTTCTCGCTTATCGTAGATAGTCAATATATAATATTTATACTTTGTATGTGTATTCTATAAGTATAGGCACGCGAACGCGTACACGCGAATACATACATATACGTCTCTCTCTCTCTCTCTCTCTCTCTCATTCTTTTTTTCTTCCTTTCTTTCTTTCCTTCTTTCTTTACCTCCTGATTATGTACGATGCCGCGTACACGTACACGTGCATATATTTATTTCTTTGCATATAATCATGCCAAATGCGCAATTTTACACAGCGTTTGATCAGCGACAAAAGAGGATGTCGGTTATGGCATACATCTACATCGACTGTTCGTGATCGTGTATCGATAAACACTGTAATCCTCGATTGGCTCGAAACGCAGCGATGAATTGTTACAATTAACGATAGACAACATAACGCGATAACTATAAAAATCACGGTAACGTATGATATTTCACAGCGACGCCGATAGTCAACGTATCGTTTAACCGATATGCAGTATACCGATAAACAAATTGTAACGAGAACGGTTATGGCTATGGCTGTAGCGAGTGCGAGGTACGAAAGCGAGGATGCCTACCGAATCGACTATCGAGAGTTCTTCTTTTTCGCGACAAATCTCTCTCCCGTTTCGTATCTGTTTTTCTTTCTTTCTTTCTTCTTTTTTTTTTTTTTTTTTTTTTATTGCTCAACACTTCTCGCGGTTCGATCAACGCGTACAGACAGAGAGGTCGTGTGACTTTTTTTTTTCACGACATTTACATTTCTATTTTTCTCTCCAAATTAGTTGCAGAAAAAAAAAGAAAATAAATAGAAAATTTAATTAAAGATACGACCGAAATGATAATTGAGCCATTCACAGGGCAAATTGATTAACTCCACATGTTTTTAAATTTCAGTGCCAAAGCACGTGATCGATACTTAATCTTTTATATTTAAAATAAATTTCCTTAATAATTAGACACATTAAATGACCATGGAATAATAAATGATTCGTTTCAGAAGCCAATGTAATTAAAGACAACATACGACTTCAGTATGTATTTTGTATACATATCGTCAAATCAAAACTACGGCTACAATGTTTGTTTATAAATTTTAAAGGAAACTTTGAAAAAGAATATATTCATGCTTTATATCAATTTTTATTTTGTGGAGTTGATCGATGTGGCAAATGAGCGGCTCAATTGAAGATCACACGGAAAAGATATGATAAATCTATTTTTGTGTCGAGAGAAGTAATTGTAATACAAAAGATTGAAGGATTAATTTGATAGTTTTGAAAGGTAAGCCATAAATCAATGAAACGTTAATTTAACTTAATTTGATTAATACTGTGTAACTAACATCGCTAAATTCTTTCAGGTTTTCAAGAGGATGATGAAAATACATAATCCCAGAACCAAACGGAGAAATACTTTCAATTGGTCAACAACCTAAGTACTCTGAACTATTTGAATTTCTTCTATGAAAGAAATGTGACTTATCGTGTTTTTCACTTGTGACCTTCAATCGTAACAATTAGTGCACTCCATTAGAGAAAAAAGGAAATAGACGTTCGTTACATCGAGGAGCTTTAACAAATTGTAAATGAAGATCGTTGATTGCGAGCGTTTATTATGCCAAGCGTATCTGTATACGTAGTGGTTTACGAATCGTTTCTCGTCCATCGGATAGGATCATATCAAATGGAATTGGTCACGCATTTCCGTACTGGTAGCGACGAATCTCTTCTGAATCGCAATCCGTAACAAAATGAAGCAGGAGAAACAACAACGTTGAGCTCTGCGCTGCGCAAAAATACAATGAACATCGCGAAGAAATTCGATCGGAGCAGTGTCGGAGTTTCGTCGTAGCAATCGGTCAACTTTCAATCACGATTCAGTCGAGCCTCTTCTCCGTCCGTACGGAGAGCGGAAGGGAAATCGCGCGAAATTCATGTACCTCTATCGATCGGTCAGTTTTCTTTTTTCCCACTTAATCCACGTGCGAAATTACTCGGTCGATTGCGATAAACCGCCACGATTCAACGAATCGAATTGACTAGATTCGCATTAAACATATACAGTTTTGCAATTAATCATGTGCACACGCGTGTATGCGGCTATTGCTTTGATGTAACGTTGTCATACACTTGTAAACGCACGCATGATACATACCTGTATACGTATCGTACATCTACGATATCGCATATGTTACACCACGAACAGAAAATATTTCCAGATTTTTTTTCTTTTCTTTCTTTTTCTTTTATTAGGAATACCATCGAAAGACGTACTCTCTACACGGCGTGTGCGACCGATGAATCCGCGAATTACATTCTTTCGCGATTAGCGCATCGCCACGATTACCACCGGTCAATGTTCCAACGCGAACGTGTATACACATTCCACTAATTCGGATATATCTCGTCCGTTGGCTCGTGAAAAAATGCTCCAACATAAAGGTTGAACGCCATCGCTTGACGATTAGCGAATCTTGCTCGTGGACGTATCGATTACAATTAATAACGTGATGTAAAACGTGTACAAACTATTGCATACCCTTTTCAACGAAAGAAACAGAAACAACAATATACGGATACATCTTGACACGCTGGATTTTTGCGATATAGCTCTAACAAGCGACGTTCGAAGAAAAATGTATACCGATTCGTTGAAACAGCAACAGATCGCACATGCTTGCCAGTGAAGCGAAACAGCGGAATATCCTTCAACAATAACGAAAGTGTAACAGGTATAACGTTAGAAAAAATAACGATGGAAAAAAGCGAAACTTCAACATTCAACTTTTCCCATTATCGACGATCGATGCGCGATCACTGCGAAAAAAAAAAAAAAAGAGACAAATAGCAATCTCGACGAACACGCCACTTTCCAAACCCTATTTAACGCATTTACATAATACGATAGCCAGATTGCATAGCGCGTGCGAGAACCAGCCTTTTTCCCTTTCTTTTTCCCACCTTCTCGTGGTTTCGTACCGCGCGCCTCCGCGTTGCTACTCCCGTGGCGTAATCGTTGATCGAGCCAGACAAGAAAAGAAAAGGAAAAAGAAAAAGAGGGAAAACTCGGGAGGGGAGGAGTTTCGAGTGAATACGAAAACGCGCGATGAAAGGTGAAAAGGAAGGGTGAGGAAAGCGTGAAGAAGCTGGAGAAGATCTCCGGTGAAAGGAGGAGGAGGAGGAGGAAGAAAATGCGCGCGCGCGCGCGCGCAAATCGCAGTAGCAAGTCGCGCCAGAAAGAGACGATCGTTCCGGCGGATCCTAAACGTGTAAAAATACGTAGAAAAGATAAACGTAGCGCTCGAATCGTCTGCTTGTTTGCCTGTTTGTTTGTTTGTTTGTCTGTCTGTTTGTCTGTCTGTGTTCGTGTGTCCCTCTGTATGTGAGTCGTGTCTCGTGTTGACGCGCGCGCGCAAGCATGCGCGCATAGCCAAGTCCAAACGTGAGTGCTTTAAAGTGTACGTGTATGATTGGTGTATGATTGGTATGCATGTGTGCGCGTGTGCGTGTGGGTGCGCGTGTGTACGTGTGCGTGCGTGCATGTGTGTGTGTCTGTGTGTGAGCGTGCGCGTATGTACGTCGAATAATAGCTTTACATCGATTATCATACACCGTCGTAAGCGAGGTCGACTGACGGTCTGTGATGGGATGGAAGGTAAGACGGTGGCGTAGAAGTACCTGGCGTCGCGCTACCAACGCTCGCGTAACCGCCGGGATAATTAGCGCTGGGCGCGTGAATCCCTGCTGGCGGGGCCGGATAGGCGTCGAAGGAACTAGAGTACGAACCATTGTAGGAATAAGGATTCGCCATGTGACCGAGGGATGGATGCATTCCCCCCATGCCGCTCATACCGCTCATCCCGTAGGTGCGTTGCATCAAGCTTGATTCAAGGCCACCAAAAAGATACCCGTTCGTCGATCCCATTGGTACGGGATAATGAGGTCCAGGAATAATATTCGGATACGAGTTACCAGGGTGTCCGTGGCTCATGCTTGGCGTGTAATTGCTAGACGCTAGATTTTCAACTGTGTACGATTTACTATGCTGTTGCTGTTGCTGTTGCTGTTGATGCTGCTGTTGCTGCTGTTGCTGTTGCTGCTGCTGCTGCTGCTGTTGCTGCTGCTGCTGGGAGTCCTGATGCTGGCGTCCGTTCATGCCGTAAAGAGAGCCGTAACCGTCGTTGGGAGAATGGTGTAACGAAGATGGATAGATCGCACCGGTGGGCGCCAAGGGAGGGCTGTAATTGGACATGCCGGCGTTAGGCATACCAGAGAATCCCGACAAATAAGACTGATGATGCGCTTCCATTTTTTCCGCAAGAGATCCGTCGTCGGTCATCCCGGGATGCGCGTGTTGCAGACGTTGGCTACCGCCGTCGGCTATGCTCGGTATCTGATCGACTAGAGATTCCAAGTCGCTGAGACTTTTCGAGGCCACGTCCTGTCCGGCGTTTCTCTTCATGGCGTACTGCTCGTGCGGATGGTGGTGAGGTGACATCGAGGCGTGTGTCGGCGTATGCGGATGCGTATGCGGGGGAGTCGGATGAGAGTGATGCGAATGGTCGTCGGTAGTTTGGCTCAACGGTGTCGGCGTAGTCTGGTGGGGATGGGGATTGTGGGGGTCGGAGGTTTGGTCGTGATAACCCATGTAGCTGGTGTAGCTCTGATGGGACGGCGTACCCGGGCTACCGTGATGACCCGGATTCTCGCCGTTCCCAGCTGGATTGTACTGGCGATGATCGTTGTTCATATTTTGCTGCGAGATACTGGTAGGTGGTTCGAAATCCGGATGCTCGACGCTCGGGGATGTCAACGGCGATGGTTCCAGGTTGTTCTCTGAAGAAATCGCGGTGTTGATCTCCGAGGATAGATCGGAATGAGTAAACGAGAGCGACATGGATTTCGGGCTTTGGCTGTAGTGTTGCAAGTGTACCGGGCTTTGTTTTGCATTTATACTATACGGGCTGTCGTTGATACCTTGCCCGTAAAATCCAGAATCGTTCATCGGTTGTGGATAGGGAGCCATATGCGCAAATGTCTTCGGTGGTGAGAAGCAGTTGGGTACCACGGTACCGTAACCGTCCCCGAGATGACCCATACCCTGATGCTGTTGCTGATGTTGCTGCTGCTGTTCCCTCATCTCCCGTTCCTGTTGCTTTTGCTGCTGATGTATCTTTTTCGGCCGTCCTCGCCGTTTCTTTATCACTTCCCCGTTCGCGTCTAACTTCTCGGGATCGGGCGGCGGTTGATCTTCCGGGTTCTTTATCTTCTTTGGCCTGCCTCTTTTCTTCTTGCCGGGTATTTGAGAGTTGGAGTCTTGTTTCATGCCGGTTCCATTCGCCTCGGTGATTCTGCTTTCTCCCTCGTTCGTAAGCTCCTCGCAGAACGCTGGCTTTTTATCCTCGATCGCCTCTTGTTCCTTCTTCTTCAGCTTCGAGTCCGCGAACACTATGTCGGATTCATCCAGGTGAGAGATCGTGCCGTTCAAGTAATCGCGAAACTTCTTCAGCGCCGCGTAGTATGGCACTTTGTCCGCCGCCCGCGGTAGTTGCGCGCATCTCGCGCTACTCGATGGCATCACCCACATGTACTGAAATCAAACACGTTCGCTCGTTATTAACCGAGATTTTCATTCGGATGTTCCTTTCGAAAGAAGTTCGAAATCTGCCCTCTCTTACCGTATTTGTGCCCTCTACCAAGTTAGGTTGTCTACCGAATCCAAACTCCTTCTTCCCAGAGAATACCTCGTATATGAGTTTACCGTTAAACACAGCGATCTTCGGTTTATATTTCCGTAATTTCTCCAACAGAATGTGGCTACCTGTGAAAAGAAGATACGGGCTTTTAATAATAGAAAATGGTAAATGAATCCTTGATCGTTCGACGACAAAATACATATACGCCTATGTACATTGATCGAAAGGTTCGTTAGTATAGCTAGTTTCATCGCGTCAATTAAACAAATAGAAGTAAAAGTGAGATTAATGGTTTAATACGTTGTTCATTTGCTGTAGTAATCAATTTTTATTGTAGTAAGGAATTTGACCCCTGCTGTTCTCCCCACTTATTCCTCACAATTTTCTTCAAGAGGTTCGAAGAAATTGAAATATTTGTATCTCAATGCGGATAAAAAATTCCTTTTGTATCTGACTTATATCTATTGTTTTAATATTTTTATTTTTTTGTTTTTAAATAATACGTTTTTATTACTTTTATTTAATATTTTTTAAATAATACGTTTTTTGTTTTTAAATAAATCTTCGTTTTGTCGCAGGTTTCCGTAATATTAGTATATTTACGCGTAAGGCTGCTTGGTCTTCAAATGGCCCATGATGGTTCCATCTTAGATTCTCTTTTCGATCCGTAAATCGTTCGAGAAGTGTTCGTCTCATGGACGAGAGAATTTCAATGGGTTTGGTTGGCAACACTGATGCCGCGTGCAGCCAGTCTTCTCGCGGCCACGATCACGGAGGGAACCGGCTAAAAGCGTAAGTCGATCGGGAAATTTTTCATCGTGATCGTCATTAATTTTGTTTAATGTACCAAAATAAACGACAATCGCCACTAGCGTGCAAGTGAAACAGTTTGGTGATCGTGATATCGGCAAATCGTGAATCGGAGCTCCCATGGCACGTGAGATTTCTCGTCACTGGCAGGCATCCACAGGCGGTAAGTAAACGAACGTTTATCGATACAACGTTTTACGTTGCTTACATTTTTGTCCGCTTAACGTGTCCCCTATTATCTGTTAATATCGTTTCGAATTAACGTTTCGTTTCATTTCGCCGAGGTTCTACCATCGAGCTCGCTCGTTCCGTTTGAATTTTCATTCGATTTTTCGCCCATCGAGGTTAAAATCTCTCTTTGAATCGTCTCGTTCGTAGAAAATAAATTCGTGATTTCATTTCGAGGTGTACGAATCTCTTTCGTCGTTCACAAAGGGCGTTAAATTCTGAAAAAGTTACCGATTGTTGATTCCTCGAGGAAAACAGGGGGTTAACGAACGTTGGTTTTTGCGCGGATTAATGAATGTTTGTTTTCCACGTGGAAGGGACGAAAACGAAAGAATAAGAACCGCCTTGTTAGCTACGATAAGCGTACATTTCATCGTACGCTTTCGAGCGGAAGAAAACACAACAATCGTTGACGAGTTACAGTCAGAATTAATAATGATCACTTCAGTTTTTGCAAAAGCTTCGACAGAGTCTCAAATGATACAGTATACTCGCGTATACATACGTATGTACATATATCTCGTCTTGAATGAGAATAAATTTAACGACTCCGATAAGCGGCGAGGCAAGTAAATAAATCGTGATACGAATTCTCATTGTGTGCATCTTCGATCCGGAATTTCGTACGTTGTGATTTGATTCGGCCGACGCTGTCTTATCGTTTACAAAAAATCACTACAAGTTGCGTGTACACAATGTGCGTCGAAGCTACATTGTGTGCGTGTGTATTATACTCGATCTGGCTGGCACGAACGAACCACGTTCAAATGTATACGTCCCGGTCTATAACGGACTAGTTTTTGTCGGCCATATGTGTACGGACACGTTCAAAATTTTTGCACGCGTTAAATTCAAATACACGTCATTCATGTGCCTAACATCGAGGTTTTCCATTTGCTGCGCGCACAGCGAGGCCTATTTGCAAGCCTGTTATTGCCGCGCGTGTACAATTAGATCGCGAATATTTATGCAGATTTATGTTTTATAAATACGACTGAAGAAACGGAGTCCAAACGGAGAGATTTACTTCACGCGTTGAATGCTCCATTTCGGATGTTTTATATATACGTATATTTACGTAGTGTATGCACGTCCAGTGCACTTTTGCACTTTGTATTTTTAATCTGTAATCGATGTTGTGAAAGGTCGACGGAATTGAATATTATTTTAATTCTTTGATCTTATTGGCGTACGTCACTGGGACACAATTCGAACTCAATCGTATTTTTTCTGTCATTGTCCGGAAATTTTTGAAATATGACGGAATTATTATTATTATCAATTATGGATAAATTGTTATTTCAGAGTGTCGTGTCGAAAATTTTCTTAAAAATATGTGAAACTTTTCTCTTTTTTTTTTTTTTGGTTGAAGTTGATGAAACGAGAATTCGTGGTAGAATTCATTTTTCTGAGAAATAAACGATCTGTTTATCTATGTGATTTTCAATATTTTTAGTATATTGGATATCAAAAATACGTATTTTCAACATTTCGTAAGAAATAAATATTTTGAGTTATTATTACTATTATTAGATTATTAAAAAGTTAGTTAATTAAAAAATAAAAAAGCTAATTATTTAATTATTTAAAAATCAAACAAACGAAAGTAAAGTAATATTATATTGTTTTCGAGCTGTAAAAAAATATATCAAATCTTTAAAATTGCTTTTCAACATTAAAAAACGGAATTCGATAATACAAATTTACTAAAATTGCAAATAAAATCTTAATTAATATACCATATTTTTTATCGTATTAATTTTTCAATTACAGAGTCAAAAGTCTGTGGTTAAAAATATTCTAGATTGAAATAAAAGTTAATTAGTATAAATGATTAGTATAAGTTAAAAAAAAATTGATAATAGATGAAAATTTGTCCTGCAAAGATATTTGAAAGTATACGTGTTTTCAGTCATACTCCAAAATCTAAAAATTTTATAAAGTGCCAGCTATTACAAGTAAACATTAAAACCGAAGCATTTATGACATCAGATAAAGAATCAACAGAAAAAAAGAAACGTTTCTTCCATTATGGCTTCAGAAGTATGAAAAAAAAATATCGATATGTTCAATGATGTACAGAAGTCGTACAGCAATGTTTTAAGACATCGTTAAAAAGAGGGAATTTCAATCTTCAAGATTATGATACATGGAAACATAAAAATTTTTTTTCCATGTGATTTTAGAGTCGTTTGAGTTTTTTACAATTTTCAAGAATAAATGTATCATTATTTTCTCAGCTGCTGTATGACATGAAAACGTCTTTGAAAAGGGAACGAACTCACGACTGTCAAAGTTAGGGAAAATAAAAATTATTTTACGCATTATTATTATCATCATCATTAGTAGTATAGTTGTGTCCTTAAGTTGTGTATATGCCGTGTATATACTGTGTATACATATTTTGAGATTGTTCGAAGGTAGGTGACCTGTCGCTATTTACATTTCCATGGTTTGTAACCGGTTGGATTCCCAGTAAACTTGGGAAATACTAGCAAATGTTTTGGAAAATGAGGGAAATAAATAGAGAATGTGGCTGCGGAATGGAGAGGGTAACGGACTTCTTGGTTTAACTGCTCTCTCACTTATCCCAGAACCTTCGAATCGAAAAGATCCCGAGACTCTACCCCCTTACGATTTCTAACACACACGCGTATAGAAAGCGATCAACGGGTTCACCGGGCAAGATCGCTTACCTTTGTCACAGTATACTGACCTTCTTTGATTTCTTTCCTCGTTAGATCAGCGCTGCCTTTAGTGGCGCGAGCTACCATATTCGTGAAACCGATACCGAAGCGCAGGAGCTTGTAGTCGTCATCCGCCGTCAGTGGTTCGGGTGTCAGTCCACTCAAGTGCAAACACTTCCCTGAAAAAAGAAAGTTGGTTCAGTGGTTGAAAAAATGGCCAGAGGCCGACCATTCAGACGGGGATCCGACTTCAGAGATCTTTAAGTAATTTTTCGTTGCCCCGGAGAGATACTTCCTGCCGAATTTGGACATTGTTCAAGTAATATATTTCAAAAAAATGATGATTTGAATGATGACGTTCAAATTAGATTGAAACAACTATGTGATAGTTTGTTTGAACATAAAGATGACTTTTCTTCGCATTATTTCAACAACACTTTTTCCTTACTTTCGATTTTGTATTTGAATAAATTTCTATTCAAGTAAAAGTTTTTCAATTTTGATCCTTGTATGTCGACACACATTCTTTGACTATCTTATGTCACATTATTTGAATAATCGAATTGACTCTTTGAGTATTTAATTCGCGTATCGCATAAAGAGTCAAAGATATTTAAAATAGTTAACTTATATATTAAAGGTTCAACGAGGATTAAACATTAAAATATATTGAGTATAAATTTTTACATGGTAGTTTTAAGCATTCGAAAGATTAATTTAAACAAGAAACTATTTCGTAATGATTTGTTTGAATCCCACATTAAGCAGAGCTACTTTTTCCACGATTATCTTCAAAATAATAAATAATAAGTAATAAATCCATTGAAATAATTCACCATTTCAAATTGTTATTTTTTATTTCACTTCGAGCAAAACGTGCCCAAGACAATGAAGAGGATAGGCCGCAGGTTAAGAAACATTGTTTCAGAGGATTTCGCAATTCGCGGGAAATGCGCCGGAGTACCTTCGTTGTTAAGTTCGACCGACATTCACGCGGTTCGGCGCCGAGGAGGGGTGAATTTCAATGGGTCTGGGTCAAACATTGTCGACGAGAACTGTCTGGAAGTTCATACTTTGGGTTCCGTAAACTCGAGACGATAAATTGCCTGGTGACGCGAAACGAAACGAAAGAAAAAAAAAAAAAAAAGAAGTAGCTTCGCGCGATACGCGGCGGTACAGTGTGCAAGGTTAAATTGTTCGTTCGCTTCCTGGGGTCTTAATTGAACGATTTATTCGACCGTGCGACGAATTTCACAAACAAACGAAATCATCTCGCGCGAAAGTTTCGACGACGAGAAACTGGAGGATGTTGTGCGGCGGGAAAGAACAGTAATACACGTTCGTGACGTTCGTGTACGATCTGAGTACGAAATATCGATTGAAGAGGCGTTGATCTCGGTTTAATAACAAGATAATTTTCGAAAGTGATACAATTCAAACAGGTCGCCCAAGAGGGGCGATAAACCATTATGGAAACGAGTAGCTTTCAGAGAAAAGTTGTTTACTAAAGTTGTTAATTTTATGGGAAAATTTCTTACATAAAACATATATAATATTGATAAACAGAAAGGATTGTAGAAAGCAAGGGACGAATATTATTTTCGTTGGATATTTTTTAATTTCCTTTATGTAGAAAATGGATATTTATTAAATAGTTGTAAAAGATATTTCGTTATCAGAAATGTCAAGAATGTGTGCTACATATATAAAAAAAAATAGCTGTTACAAAATTTCACCTCTTCATTCTCGTGTTGCAAATTATGACATTTTGTAAGAGAAACTTTATAAAGCGAGGTTAAACACATACTTTTCAATGTATTGCAACATGTCGTTGTCTTTGTTAGCTCTAATAAATTAATCAATTATTTTGTTACGTTTATGCAAATAATGCAGACTAACTCAAAGAGTTAATTTTGTTACGTAAATACAAAGTTAACAATCGATTCACTTTTAACAAATAACTCACTTTTGTAAGTTTATTAATCGCATGAAAATGAGATAAAAAGAAACCAATGTTTGTAATATCATTGCTTTTCTATCCCTTTCAATCAGCTTCTGATCTGTACCTGTATTATATCTTCCAACCAAATCAACAGAGCCAGCCTACTCGGTTATTCTTCTGTTACTCTCGTAATTCCTCGCATTTTTTTTTTTTCGCTCAACAGCTTAACAGATTTTTAACGTTCTACGTGATAGTAATAATTTGAAAGTATTGCTTGTTAGTGGTGGTGTTGGTGGTGGTGGTTGTTAATGAGGGCGGTGTTTCTGGCGGGGTAGCAGTGCCGCAGGTGTTGCAAAGCATACCGTTTAACGGATTAAATAGGTCTGGGTCAGGCACTTGCGCCGCTCTTTTTATATTCCTCTCAAAAGTTCAGTCATAAGTCGCGTTCTTCTGTACAATGGCGGGAAATTTGTTTAGCGGGTACTAAACTTTGCGTATAGTTCGAATTCCTTGCCGTGCTCGCCGCGAAGAAGAAGTCAGAGAGAAAGAGAGAGAGAGAGAGAGAATGAAACTGGAAGAAGGATAGAAGAGAAGGAACGGAAGGCAAGAAGGAAAAGAATAGAAACGGAAGTGAGAGAGGCAAAGAAGGAAAACAAGACAATGAGGGGAGGGAAAAAAGAAGGGTAAAAATAGAGGGAAGGGAAGACAGCCCTTAGATACCTATTTTTACTCTTATTATTGATAGCAGGGTTGGAGCAGAAATTACTTAATGTTTGTCCAACGTATCATTTTTAAACTCTACTTCCTCGCTGCTGCGGGTCCCTCTTGCGCAATTGAACCCCTATTACCGTGCAATTTTACAAATCGCAAATTATAAGCTATCAGTACTAATAAATTCCCTTCTATCGCTGTAATAAATTTAACAACAAAATAAATTCTATAAATTGCTGGTTGTTTGATTATTTGATTATTCTATAGCGGGTGAATGTCTCAGTTGTGCAATCGGATTGCCAGCAATTTTGCACGGAAAAGAAATAAGTCGAACAGAGGGAGAATATAAATATTTTTTCGCTCAAGATTTTCTTCCCTGGATGATGCAGTTTGAAAACTTGTCAAATGTACTTGAATTTAGGTAATTTCAGACTGTGAATAAAATTACAGTTACTCACGAAAGTAAGTTTATAGGAAAGCTTGTAGGAATCTTTTCTGTGTATATTGTAAAACATTTTGACATTTCATTAACGTTGTAGCGAGAATCCATCTATCATGATTATATTGGTCAAGTTTGAAACGTCTAAAAATATGTATAGAAATTAGAAGATATTTATAACCATCGAGTAGTATCATATCACTGGAGCAGTATAAATCACTACAGTGATTTACGTTAGAATACAAAAATTAGTAATAAAATTAAATTCAATACAAAATTTAAAAAATAACGTAGCTTAAAATTCTAAATTGCTGTGATCTCTAATTCTAAGTGCTAGTTAAGAGTTTCATCAATATTAAATTTCGTCAATATTCTGTGAAACACCATCTTCGCATATTTAGATTGCACATTCACGCCGTATACTAATTTTTAAAATTTAAAATTCAAAATTTACAGCAACCATCTCGTAACATGAATGAATGAATCTTTACTTCAGCCTTTCGGCCTAGAAATAGACCTCAGTACTTACATTATTCTTTACATTTTGTTTTCCCTTTTAATTCCCTTAGTTGTCAAGTTTTCTCTTATTACTTTTCCCTTACGTTTAGTATTGCATGCCAGACTTTAACCTAACTTTATACTATAAATAGACTAATTAGACTAATAGAAAATGATATATGCACACTGCCTTAACACTTAATATATTTCTCTTTAATTCTATATTTTCTTTACTCTAGTTGTGTCTCTATATTAACCATCTCGTAACGTCTACATGCATATTTTCAGATTGACCAACAAATGTTAGTGGACTAGCCATTGTACTCAATGAAATTCCAAAGTGTGTTATACATACGTAAGAGTTTTTCCCAATGGCGAGTGTTCGGATACTCTCGCGCAAACAGTTCGTTCGATAATTACGATAATTGCACGTCACTTGTCAAACACGGAAATCAACATGCAAATCGCGGTGCAAGAGCCTCCGAGAGCCAGAACCAGATTACAAGTACACGCGAGAGAATGGCGGGTGGGAAAAGAGCGGAGTAGAAGAATGAAGACGGGCAAAGAGAGGAGGAAGCGAGGAGAAAAGGTCTGATGGCGCGAAATTACAGACGTCGCCGAAGTATATATCCCGCGAGCGTTTACCCCTAGCAGCCCAGGAGATAGAGATTTATGACGCGGCCTCGGAAATTCTCTCCCTCTTGTCCTCCCGGTCTCGCCTCCTCTTGCACCACCGACCTACAGCCGCAGCATACGACCTTGGAGAACTTCGGAACAAAGTTAAACGCTCGTCTGCCGTGGCCATTGCCGTGGCCGTAGCTGTAGCCGGAGTCGTAACCCGTGGTTCGTAGCTGCAGCATGCTCTCGCAGAGTCAAGCAGAGTCCGCGCATTCGTTCGTTTCGCTCTTAAACTCGACGCACAGGGAAAACCGCGAGGGGGTGAGGAGGAGTGAGTAGGTGGACGAGAGATGTAAACGAGAGGGAAACGAGCTCGTTCTTTTTCTCATGCTTGGCTCGCGATTTTCTCTTCGTTGTGGCTGTTACACGTGGACTGTTAAGGAACGACGGCAAGCGCGTCGGTCCCTTCGAACACGGACTAACGACCGATCGAACAAACTTTATCGAAGCGAAATGCGACCCTTCCCCCTTCGTTCACACCGCTAACCTAACCCAACTTGACTTCGCTCGACCTTTCCGCGTCGCTCGTTACCTCGCCTTGCCTTACCTTATCTTACCCTTCTTTGCCCTAGCTCAAACTCGCCTTAACCGACATTATCATTCTTTCGAATTTTTCATTTTTTTCTTTTTTCTTTTCTCCTTTTCTTGCCCTCCTCTCTTTCGTTCCGCGTTTCTCTCTGCGTATCGGATATACTTTATTCGCGATTGCATCGAATATCCTAAACGATGTCGTGCTCGAATCTATGCACGCGATTCTTATTTAATTCGCCGAGGAGGGGGGGAAGAGGGAACGAAGGGAGAGAACGGAGGAAAAGAATTCGCCGTGTGTAATCTTAAAACGGGAGCAAACTTCGGTTTACCGATTTCCGTGGGCGTCCGTAAATTTATCTCGGCCCTCGAAACTTTCAAAG